AGAAAGGGACACGAAAAAGGGAAAAGGGCGCTGAGGGTCAGGCCCCCGGCTGTGGAGTCTCCGGGGGGCTGGACTCCTCCGGGAGCCCCAGTAGGAGGGGCCTAGGGCCGCACCCCGCGGCGGGGTCACCGGAGAGGAGCAGCCGGGCTGGGGCTGCAGGGCGCAGAGGGACAGGCGGGCGGCCGGCGCGACCACTGCGCGGGGATGGGAGGGGCTGCGCGTGAGTCACAGGGCCCTGGGAACATCGGCGCGGGCCGCGTGGGCTGTCACCCGCGGGAACACGGCCGAGCCCTCAGAGCCGCCGCCTGCGCCCCCCGCTCTGCGCGCGCAGCTGTCCTCCGGCACAGACGGAGCGGGGGAGGTGGGGGGAGGGCTGCCACAGCCTGGCCAGATCCGGAGCTCCGGGGCGGGGCGGGGCGGGGCGGGGCGGGGCCCCTGCTGAAGGCCCTGCATCCTGGGGCCAGGTGGGGAAACTGAGGCTTGGGGGAAGTCCAGGGCTGTCCCCATTCTGCGCAGGTGCAGACGCCTGTTTCTTGTTGAGTACTGAAACTGTGCCCGCAGGGTAAACTTGATCACATCCCACCCTCCCGCGCTCCAGTCTCTCGGCTCCCCAGCGCCCTCAGAACAAAGCCTACGTGTGTGGCCACAGCCACAAGGCCCTGCCCAGCCGCTGGGACACTGCCCCTGGTGCAAGCAACACTGCCTTCTCCCACTCATTCCAGCCTGGCCTCCCTGCATTTCTCCCATAGATCCCGCCTGTCCTGACCTCAGGACCTTTGCACTTGCTCTGCCCACTGCCCAGCCCTCCATTGTGAATCACATGCTTCTTTCATGGCTCAGGAAAGGGCAAAGAAATCATGACAGCTCACATGGGCAGGATCCCTCAGCAAGCTGCCCAGCCAACCCCCCCCATTCGGTTGCCACCAATAGTGTGGCACACACCTGGCATCCCAGCACTCGGGAGGCTGAGGCAGGAGGATCACTGCAAGTTGGAGGCCAGCCTGGGCTACATAGTGAGACCCTGTCTCCAAAAATCAAAAACAAACAGAAAATAGACTTTCAGACCAACGGGGACTCTCAGACTCCAAGCAGCCGGCTGCCCCTACAGATCTCACTGCCCCAAACCCCAGTATTACAGCTTGAGCCTCTGGACCCAGAGCCCCCCAGGCTCCCCTGAAGCCCAGGTTCCCGCATCCCTCCTGTTGTGGCCGCGACTTCTCCGCCCCACTTTCTGCCCTTCACGCGGTGCATGTCAGAGCCCTCCAGAACGGTGGTTCCAAAAATACCTGGACGACCTAGCTCCTGAAAATGGGCCACCCCACCCCACCACCTGGCACCCAGGAGGTAATTAGCACACGCCTCAAATTAGGGCAATTAGGTCTGCAGGAACCAAACTCCTGGCCAGCCTCAGTGTTCCACCCAGGCACCAGCCTGGACTTTGTGCCTGGTCCCCTCCTGCCCAGCATGTTCCTTCCTGGGGCACCACATCGAAGGGATTTGCTTTGGCCATGTTCAGGATTTCAAGCAGGGTCTCCTCCGAGCGCGATGCGAAATCACCAGAACTACTGAGTTGCATGCTGCCTTTCCAGGCCCCGCCGGGCCCTGAGATGCACTCAGGCTCCAGGAGTTAGAGCTGGACACGGGCACTCCTAGTCCTGTGATGTTAGGGTTAGAGCAGAAGGAAGGAAGGAGACAGGGAAGGTCCAGAGGAAGAGGAGGGAGGGCTTCTGCAGAGGGCAGCATTGCAGGTGGGGTTCTGACAGATGAATAGGAGTTTTTCAAGAACCTAAGGTCTGACAGCTGGTCCAACTAGCTACGGCCAGGGGAAAGGGGGGAGGGAAGAAGATGGCTACATGGACAAGAGCTAAAGATTGAGGCTATCATGCTGCGTATGAGCCATTTATGGGAGCTCACGGCTGACTGGTGTCCTTCAACTCTTCACAAAGAAAATTTTAAGAATTTGGCTCAGGAGCCAGGGATTTAGCTCAGTGGTTCAGCTGCCTGCCTCGCAAGCGCAAGGACCCGAGTTCAATCCCCAGTACCAAAAAAAAAAAAAAAAAAAGAAAAGAATTTGACTCAGGAAGCCAGCTGTGGTGGCACACGCCTGTCATCCCAGCACTAAGGAGGCTGAGGCAGGAAGATCGCTAAATTCGAGGCCAGTCCGGGCTACACAGTGAGACCTTGTCTAAGAAAAAGAAAAACAACAACAAAACTAACAATTAAAAATCTGGCTGAAGAACTAGGGTGTGGCTCAGTGCTGGGTTCAATTTCTAGTACCATGGGAAAAGATATGATTCAGGATCAAATCTACCTCACCAATTTATTATCATCATTTTCTTACCATTTGTGATACTGAGGATGGAACCCAGGGCCTCACACTGAGCTGGACCCCCGGGCTTTGTTTTTTATTTTGAGACAGGGTCTTGCTGAGTCACTAAGTTTCCCAGGCTGGGGTAGAAATTTCACCCTCAGCCTCAGCTTCCCAGAGTGCGGGGCGGGGGGAGAGGCGTGTGCCACCACACCCACCTTAAATAAGTATGACATTTACAGCATCAAGCATTGAAAGCAGGCGCCATCTGCGTGTGAATGGGGAAACCGAGGCCCGAGCACGAACGGGACTTCGGGGTCGCACCGAGGTAGGAGGCAGCGCTGGCTGACATGGCTCTGGGTCTGCGGGCTGAGGTTTCCCCCACCTGGGGCCTGGGATCCGCTCTTTTGGTGAGTGGGAACCAGGCTAGAAACAGACCCTCCGGGAGGCCAGACCCAACAGCTGGGGCAGATTTAACTGGCAGAGCGGAGCCAGGCCATGACAGCCATTGTGCTTTCCTCATTGAGCGTTCCAAGTCCTGCAAGAGCTGGTGCGCCCTGCTTCGCCTCTCCTGAAACAGCCAGCTCATTCCCTCACACCCCGGAGGAAAGCCTGGGTCTCGGTCTAGGAGTCTAATCTCTGAGGAAAACTGTCATTAGTCAGTTGCCTTGGGGTGGTGGCCACCAGATTCCCCACATTTCTGGCTGACAGTCCTGAGTCATCAGCACATTCTCCAGGCGAGAACACAGAGACAGCTTCAGGTTCGGTGTGCTCCAGGCAAGCCCTGGCCCAGTCCCTCCTGGAGCCTTGTGAGGGGCCTGGGACAGCAGTGCAACTCTCCACTCTGCTCCCCATTCTTGCTTCTGCCCACACAAGGAGCAGAGCCTGCTTGGGCCCCTCACCGACCGCCCCCCTAGAGTAGCCACATGGCCCCAGCTCTGCTGCCAGCGGGCACTTGGCAAAGGCAAGCAGCTTGCAGAAGCACTGGCCCTGCCAGCACCTGTCCCAGACACTTCTTCCTTTAATTATGCTGTTCGTAAGAAGGAAAAGTCACTCTCTGAACAGAACAGACGGTATTTTCTTTGTTCCCTCCAGCGTTGGAGCATTACATGGCTTTGGGCCTGAGAACAAAGCCAAACATTCGCTCATGCACGTGTCTCATGCCGTTAGGGACAGCAGGAAGTCGAGGCCTGGACCCTGTGCCTCAGTGTCCCCAGCAGAAAGAGCAGATGCTCTTGGGGCGGGATGGGCCAGCTCTGGAGAAGCCGGGGTGTGTCTGGGTGGAACAAGGCGCTCAGCAGCAGCACAGAGGGAGGCAGAGGCTGAGAGCCACACCTAGGGGAATGTGTCTAAAGACCACGACCGTCATCCCAGCACTCTGGGGGCGAGGCAGGAGGATTGCCACAAGTTCCAGGCCAGCCTGGGCTCCATAGTGTGATCCTGTCTCAAACAAACAGAAAACCCAGAAGATACAAAACAGCACTCCCTTGTCTGGAATTCACCTATAAGCCCCGGGAAGGCAGGTCACTCCGCACTCAGCCTGGGGCTCTCAGAGGGGCAGAGAGAACTACAAGGACCGGAAGTTGAGGGGCAGACTTCAGTGCAGAACTCCGGGAGGAGGCCGCCCCGGGTCACCCACAGGCCTCCGCTGCCACCAGCCCAGACGCTGGGTGACTCTGGAGAAGTCTCCTGGGACCACGCAGCATCAAGGGCACAGGCAGGTCCCAGGATATCCTCGGTGAGGACCCGCCGTCCGTCGCAACGTGCTGTCCCCTGCCTGTGACCTCTGGGACCCCAGCGTCCCGCCTCAGCACACCCCGACTCCCCGCCTTTTCCTTCTTTTCTCTTTGACGCTCCTAGCAGACGCCAGGGCCTCAGGCACCTCCAGGTGCTGACCATTGGCTGCCCCCGGCCATGCGGGTTGTCTGGGGAGGAGACCGAGGGGACAGAGCCCTCCCACCCCGCAAAGCCACCGCTTCCGCTTCCTGCCTCCGCCTGTGCCAGCGCCTACTGCGCGCAGACCTCTGACCCCGGCTGGTGCCGACCGAGAACCTGACCCTCCGCACGGTGACCCTCCGGTCACCGTCGCAGGCAGGGAGGGCGGAGACCGCGACCCAAGGGTCAGGGCTGGGGCCGCCAAGGCATGCGCGTGTCCAGCTGTTTGTCCATCTGCTTCCTGTGTCGCCCCGGCCTCTGGGTCTCTGTCATTCCGGACGTCCACCCTGTGCTCCGTCCCCACCCGTGCCCCAGCTTCCCTCCCCCACTCCTGCCCCGGTCCCTCCCCCCACCGCTCGATGACCCCCTCCCCTCCCCTCCCCCGCGGCCGGCAGGGGGCGCGTGGCGGCGCTCGGGCCCGGGAGGCGGGGCGGGCGCGCGTCGGGACGGTCGCCGCGATGGGACCGGAGGAGGCGGCGGCGGCGGCGCAGACAAAGGCGCGGGGAGCAGCGGCGGCGCGGAGCAGCGGTGGGGCCGCACGGAGCGCAGGGTGAGCGGCCGAGCGCGCCGGGCGGAGCTGGGCCCCCCGAAGTTCGGCGCTCGCCTCGCGGGGTCCCCAAGTCCCGGAGTCCTGGTCTGGGAGGAGGCGGCGCGCGAGGTCCCCACATTCCAGACCGGGCGTGGGCGAAAGCTGCCGGGGGAGGGGGGTGTCCCTGACGTTCTGGATTCGGGGTGTGGGGGCCCCCGAAATTCCAGACGGAGGTCTGGAGGATGGGGGGTCGGGGTGGGGATCAGGGCCGATATGTCCAAAGTTCCGCCGTTGAAGGACAGGGTCCCCGAAGTTCCAGAGCTGGGGTTGAGGAGCAGAGTGGGGAGGACCCCGAAGTCCCGGCCCCGGGGTTGGGCGGAGGCGCGGGATACGGGAAGTTGAAGAGTCGGGCGGCTCATCCTGAAGTTGTGGCACGCGGCGCCCTCGGGCCGCGGCGGGGGGCGCACCCCTCGTGGAGCTCGGGGCCCTGGCTGGAGCGCCTAGGTCCCGGCCACTCGGAGTGTCGCACCCCAGCCCCACGCCCTCCGCCGCGCGTGACTCGCCGAGTTGGTGAGTAACTTTCCCGGCGCTGCTGCGAGTCCTGGCAAGAGTGGCTCCACCGGAAGGGCCTGGGTTCCGGGGATCCCCGCACCCCCAATCCCAGCCAGGCGCAGGACGCGTCCCTACCCCGGGATCGAGTTCCAGACCCTGTGACCCGGGCAGCAGCTGCCAAGGATAGGATGGGGGGCCCCTCTGACCCGCTGCTGCCCGCTGGGAGCCCCCCTTCTCCAAGCTCTTCCTGGGTCCTTTGCCGGTCCCTTGGATGCAGATTTGAGGGCGCAGAGGTTGCATAAGGAAGCAAGTCTAGCAGCAGCTTTGCTGGCTTCTTGGGATGGTGGCTTAGCAGGACCCCCAGGGAGGTCAGGGAGCAGTGTTTTAATCCTGGGTTCTGCTCTGCCCCTCACGTGGGCACCAGGATCGACAGTGCAGCTACATCATGTCTTTAATTTTTTACTTTAATTTTTGGAGCTGGGGTCTATGTGGCCCCAGATAGTCTTGAGCTCCTGGGCTCAGCGATCATCCTGCTGCCTCAGCCTCCCCAGGAGCTGGGACTACAGGCAGCATTAGCCTATATCTTGTCTTTTTAACAAGGCTGGGAGCTCCCTGCGGATTTGGATTCTAATTCCGAGGTGTAGTTCTGCCAGAGGAGGGGTGCTGAGGGGTCTCCCAGCAGGCATTTGGCAATGCCAGGCTTTTTAAAATTATTATTATTATTATTATTATTATTATTATTTTGTTTTTTTGGTGCTGGGGATGGAACCCAGGGCTTTGTGCATGCTAGACAAGCTGCACCCCCAGCCCCATGAATATTCTAGAGTTGGCCTCCGGGCCCAGGGTGAGCCTAGAGGTGCTTCCCTTGGGGTGCCGTGGGTGCCTCCTCCGGATTGGGGGGGGGCTCGCTCCCAGTGATTTACACTGACTGCCTTTCTGATTGAAGCCCTGGGGATGGTGTAGCTGGCCCAGGGGCCTCATAGGGACACTCTCTCCCCAGGGCCCAGACCCGCTGCTCTCGCCACCCTCGGTCCAGCCACCCAGCCCAGCCTGACCAATGTCCACAGCCAGGTGAGCTCCCAGCCATCCGGCAGCGCGTGGCCCTGAGGCTGGGGTGCTGCCCCTGACACCCAGTCCCCTGCAGGGAGCAGCCAATCTTCAGCACACGGGCACACGTGTTCCAGATCGACCCGGCCACCAAGAGGAACTGGATCCCTGCGGGCAAGCACGCCCTCACCGTCTCCTATTTCTACGATGCCACCCGCAACGTCTACCGCATCATCAGCATTGGGGGTGCCAAGGTGTGGGCTGGTCCAGGTGGGGTGGGGGTCCGGGTGACAGTTTTAGGCCTCCCCAGTGCCCTGGCGACCAGGAAACCTTGAGTCTCTCTGAGCTCCTGAAGTGACTGGAGCAGGGGCCTCAGAGCCCCCAACCAAAGGTGCTGGTCCTCAGGCATCCGGGTCTCGTGTTCAGTCCCATCTGGCCACTGACCTTGAACTTTGCCCTCTGCCCCAGGCCATCATCAACAGTACTGTCACCCCCAACATGACCTTCACCAAAACCTCCCAGAAGTTCGGGCAATGGGCAGACAGCCGAGCCAACACCGTCTATGGCCTTGGCTTCGCTTCTGAACAGCATCTGACCCAGGTGGGGGCTGGGAGGAAGGAGGGAGGCACAGGGACCCCACTGAGCCAGGAGCCCTTGCAGCTCTGCTTTTGCCAGCCACTCCTACTTCCTGTCACCCCTAGTCTCCACCCTCTGCTGTCCACTTTGAAATCGCCTGAGCCTGGCATGGTGGTTCACGCCTGTAATCCTGGCTACTCAGGAGGTTGAGGCAGGAGGATCCCAAGTTCGAGGCCAGCTTGGGCAGTTTAGCAAGGTGCTGTCTTCAAGGAAAATGTATAAAAAGGGCTGGTTAGGGAGGCAGCTCAGTGTTGAGCGCGTGCCTCGTGTGCGTGTGTGCGTGCGTGTGTGTATGTGCGTGTGTGTGTGTGTGTCCCTGGGTTCCATCCCCAGTGCCGGAAAGAAGTCTGCATCCATTGTTTCTTTTGATGATTAGTGCTTCCGTTCTGCAAAGATTCTGTCCTCTGTTTTATTCTAGAAGCTTTATAATTTTCCCTTCAACGTTAGGTCTTGAATTAATTTCTGTGGGTGGTGCAGGGTAGGGCTTGAGGTTCATTTTTTTTTACCCAGTATGACTACCGAGTTGCTTTGGGGCCATTTTTGTTGTTGTTGTTTGCTTGTTTTCTAGTGCTGGGGATCAAACCCTTGGGGTTGTTGTTTTAAAAAGATCATTTTCCTTCAGTGAGTTACACTGCCTTTGTGCAAATCGAGTGGTATATGCCTGTTAGAATTTGTTTGGTTTTGTGGTTCTTTTTGAGGTTCTGGGGATTGAACCCAGGGCCTTTGCACTGAGCTACATCCCCAGGCCCCCTTTTAAAATTTCTTTTTGGTACGGGGAACTGAACTCGGGACCTTGGGCTTGCAAGGCAGATGGTGGAACCACTGAGCTAAATCCTCGGCCCTCCTTTTTAAATTTTTGAGACAGGGTCTCACCAACTTGCCCAGGCTGTACTTGAACTTGTGATCCTCCTGCCTTAGCCTCCCAGAGTGCTGGGATTATGGAAGTGCACCACCACTGTATTTAAGGCCACCTCTGTGAATGTCCCACCCGCCCACTCTGTACCCACGCTGCCCGTGGGACACCATTCTCCCCACTCCGGTTTGTGACTCACAGTTGTGCACAGTTCCCAGAGTCCCTTCCCAGCTGACCGGGCAGGGCCCGGGTGGGGGACCTGGTGGGGCTGAGAGGGGCCGCAGGGTTTGTTGACTGCCTGCTGGCCCCTCGGTACCTACAGTTTGCTGAGAAGTTCCAGGAAGTCAAGGAGGCGGCGCGGTTGGCCCGCGAGAAATCTCAGGATGGAGGGGAGCTCAGCAGCCCAGCCCTGGGGCTCATGTCCCACCAGGTCAGCACCCTGATGGCGGGGCCCGGGCGCTGTGCCGCTGTCCAGGACGAAACGCTTACAGACGGCCGAATCGGCACCCTCGGCAGGGACACCCTCCAGCCCCAGGTCACCTCTGACCTGGGTCACGCCCGGGTGACCTCAGCCCAGGCCTCACGGGACCTTCTGACCCGTGCCCGGTCCTGCTTCCACCCGCAGGTGCCCCCGAGCCCCCTGGTCAGCGCCAACGGCCCGGGAGAAGAGAAGCTGTTCCGCAGCCAGAGCGCCGACGTCCCCGGCCCCACCGAGCGCGAGCGGCTTAAGAAGATGCTGTCCGAGGGGTGAGGGGTGGGGCGGGGGGCGGGGCCGAAGCCCGCGCCGTGGGTCTTCGGAGCCTTCCAGGGGCCGCCACGCTCTTTGGCCCCGCCCGCAACACTATTGCCCCGCCCCTGTCCAGCCCCCCCCAACAGCCCAGGCACCACCTAGCCGCGTTTGCCCCGCCCACCGCCCGACACAGCTCCGCCCCCAGCGTTACTGTGCCTCCAAGGTCTCCCGCCTCTCCGCAGCTCGGTGGGCGAGGTGCAGTGGGAGGCGGAGTTCTTCGCACTGCAGGACAGCAACAATAAACTGGCGGACGCCCTGCGAGAGGCTAACGCCGCGGCCACCCAGTGGCGGCAGCAGGTGGAGGCCCAGCGTGCAGAGGCTGAAAGACTTCGGCAGCGGGTGAGGGCCTCCTTCCACCTTGAGAGCCTGGCCGGCCGAGGCGCCTGTGGAGCTGGGTCTCAGGGTCCCACCTGCCCTGTGGTCAGGTCACCTGAGCTCAGCTGCTCTCTTCTGAGGGTCATCATGCCCTTAAGTTCTGAGTTGCAGCTGGGCGTGGTGGCGCATGCCTGTCATCCCACCCCTCTGGGAGGCTGAGGCAGGAGGATCCCAAGTTTGCCCAGCCTGGGCAATTTAATGAGATCGTTATTTCAAAAAATAAAAAAGGACTGGAGTTGCAGCTCAGGGGAAAAAAGGACAATTTTGAGCTGCCCGATAAGGGGGGAGCCCAGCCAGGAGGTTGAGGGTCTGGGCCTCGCAGGCCAGGTCGGGCTTAGTGTCCTGTGGGTGCAGGTAGCAGAGCTGGAGGCACAGGTGGCTGCAGAGCCGGCCCCTGCTGTGGAGAAGGAGGCACCTGGCCCACCGCTGGAGAAGCTGGAGGCGCTGGTGAGGACCAAGGACCAGGTGAGACGTGTGTGGCCAGGCCTGCCTTCCCTCGCTGCCCCCCAGGGGAGCAGGACCCCAACAACCTCCTCCTGCCCTAGGAGATCCAGACATTGAAGAACCTGACTGGGGGACCCCGGGAGGCCCTGGATGCCGCTGAGCTCGAGGAGACGGAGCAGAAGGTGCAGGTGGGTGTGGTTGAAGGGTAGGGGGTGGGACAGATGGGATCTGCCACCCTGTGCTCAGTCTTCATCTGTACAGGGGATCCAAGCTGGGCCTGGCAGCCCAGCACTCTGGGAGTCTGAGGCAGGATGGAAATTTTGTGACTTAGGAGAATGGGTGTGTGTGGGCGTGCGTGCGTGCGCGCGCGCTCCCTGTGGTCTCCCGGGCAGTGGGTGCAGCATGTGCAAAGTCCCTGGGGTAGGAAGAGCAAGGCTTAAGGAGCTGCTGGGAGGCTGAGCAAGAGGCAGCCAGGGCAGCCCTCTGGGGGAGGTGAGCATTTTCTCCCAGCCCGCCCAGAGTCCCAGGAGGCTCTGAGCAGAGGATGGGGGGCCTCATGGGTGGCCCTTGGCTGCTGATGACCCCAGGCGGGGCCGATGACCCTGTGCCTCATCTCACCCCTCCTCCCAAAGGACCTGGAAGTGCGGAACACGGAGCTGGAGCACCAGCTTCGGGCCACCGAGCGCAGCCTGGAGGAGGTGCGGGCAGAGCGGGAGCGAGCTCGGGCCGAGGTGGGCCGGGCAGCGCAGCTGTTGGATGTGCGGCTCTTCGAACTCAGTGAGCTGCGTGAAGGGCTAGCCCGGCTGGCAGAGGCCTCACCCTGAGCCAGTGCCAGGCCCGAGCAGGGCCCTCCGGGCTGGTCCTGCAGGAATGGGCCCTGCTGGCCGTGGTGACAGGACCAACCCAGCTGGCCCGTGCTCAGCTTCTCTGTAGACTCTAGGATCCCGGGTGCCTGCCGCGCCCATATTACATTTCTTAAGCCTGGCTGTATGTGTGGTGTGGCGCCTGAACTGTCGACGCCCCTTTTCTGCCTTTTTTTTGTTTTTTAAGATGGCTTCTCAGTATGCAGTCCAGGCTGGCCTCGAACTTGCCGTGATCCTGCCTCAGCCTGACAGAACCCCCCCCCCCCCCCCGCCCCGGGCTATAGGCCAGCAGGGAAGCTCCCAGCATCCAGCCAAGCTCACTGGCCTGGGCCAGCAGCAACCCAACCTCACAGCTGGAGAACAGTGCGGCTGCAAGCCCTGTCTGGATGGGGAAGTTGAGGACCTGAGGAGGGGCTGAACCCCAAGGCCTCGGGGCTGGAGTGGCCAGCACTGCCATTCAGGCTGGCAGTGTCTACAAAGCTTCAGGCCTCTGTGACGGGCATGGGGGACGAGATTTTGGGGGTCCTAAAAAGCACAGCCACAGCCATCTGTCCTGGCCCGCCCCGGAGTCTGCGGCAGCGAGTGGAAGACCCGTTTATTGAGCAGCCCTCTCGGCACTGTCCCGGGCCCACACCACCCTCAGAGCGAGCTGTCCTCTGCCCGTCAGGCTGTACAGTGTCTGTCCACGGGTCCCACAGGGGATGCCCAGGCTGCGTCCTAGTTGGGTTTCGGGGTCCGGGGTGGCTGCCCCCCACAGCCAGCCCTGCTCGCTTTCTGGCGCCGCTGCAGCACCTGCCCCACCTTCTCCTTGAAGCACCGGTTTCTCTGCTTGATCTTGGCCAGCTCGGCCCTGCGCCTGGCCTGCAGGTCAGGGTCCTGTGGGGCGGGTGGGGCGCTGAGCGGAAATCCTCTGCCCCGGGACCACGCCGCCCACCCCGGCCAGTGCTCACCTTTCCCTCCAGGATGAGCTGCTTCCGCTTGTTGATCTCCTTCTTCTCATCGAAGTGGGCTGCCTCCAGTTTCTAGGGCACAGGGACCAGCTGGTCACAGCCAGTCACAGCCCGTCGTGGGCCAGCTTCCAGGGCACCGTGCAGCCCTTCGGCCCGGTGCAGCGCCCCCTCCCCGGCCAGCACTCACGATCTCGCACTCCCTGCGGACCACGTTGACCTGCGTGAGGATCTGCAGCACCTCGGCCTCCTTCACCGAGAACTCCTCCAGCTGCTTCTCTGTGGGGTCAGGGTGGGGACACGTGCTGAGTGCCCCGAGGTGGGCGTGCAAGACCCGGGGTCGCACCAGCTATGGGCTGGGGTACCAGGGATGGAACCCAGGGCCTTCACGGCGTCCTCCATCCCTAGCCCTTTTTATTTTAGGACACGTTCTTGCTAAGTTGCCCGGGCTGGGGTTGAATTTGCAATCCCCCTGCCTCAGCTTCCTAGACAGCTGGGATCACAGATGGGCACCACCTCACCTGGCTTCCTTTTTATCTGGAGGGTTAGGAAAACTGCACTGGACTGAGAATGCACTTGGGCTTTCCTATCAGGGCTTCTGCACCTGCGGATTCTACCACTCATGGACTGAAAATATTAAACCAACCAACCAACCCCAAGTTGCATCCGTACTATACAGGTGTTCTCTTCTCTTTTTGGCAGTGCTGGGGATAGAGCCCAGTGCTGTAAGCACACCAGGCAAGCACCTACCACTGAGCCACACCCGGCTACTTCCTCTCGTCCTCCCCAAGGATATCACAGGAAAGCGCCTCACCCCATGCCCCCACCCCATCAGCACCCGGAAGCCCGTGTGGGACACCCCATTTCATAGACAGGACTCTCGCATCTAGACTGCGGTGTCCACACAGTGTCTCTGAACCCACTCCCTGTGGAAACCAAGGGCCAACTGTTCCATTTCTTGGCACTGATGATCTTTAAAATCAAAGCCAGGCACAGTGCTATGGACCCGCAGTCCCTGTTACTTGGGAGGCTGAGGCAGGAGGACTGCTTAAGCCTTGAGGTTACAGCTGACCTGGGGAAGGTAGCAAGATCACTTCTTTCCAAAAAATAAACCAAAAAGCGGTGGCAGTTTCCACCCATGTCCCAGCCCGTCATCATGCCGCATGGTCTTGGGGACCGAGTCCCTCCTGGGAGACGTGGCCCCATGGGGAGGTCCTGGATCCATAACTGGGCCAGAGACATGTGTGGTGGCCCCGAGGGTACTGCCCACCCAGCCCACTCACTGATCTGCTCCTCAATGGCGTGCACCAGGTGGATGTCGTACTGCGTCACCAGGGTGATGGCCTGGCCCTGCCGCCCTGTGGGACACAGGGATACATCATGGTTATGGGACCTGGGGCTCAAGGACAAGGGACCCATGGCTGGACCATGTGGACGGGGGCTCTGTGCCGGGTGCTATGGGCCACTGGGGTGAGGCAGCTCTCCGGCCAGCTTGCCGTACACATGCGTGTGTATCACATGGCTGCTTTCCCTTTTCGGCTTGGCTGCCAGGAAGCCGAGGCTGAGTGACATCAGACAAGAGCAGAGGGGCCTCAGCCTGGATCTCTGTACCTAGTTTCTCTGCCCCACATCTCTATGACAGTCACCATGGCTTGGGACCCCTCGGGTGACAAGGCTGGGGGCCCATGAGGTGGTAAGGATCCAAGGGCTGGGTGTGGCCCAGCGGCGCCCACCTTGGGCTTTACTGCTCTGGGGACTGGCTGTGGTGGGCAAGCGCTCACTGCCTCCCTTGCTCGGAAGGGGGGAGTCTGCCAGCGCTGGCCCAGGTGCCGAAGCCACATGGCTCACCTGCACGGGCTGTGCGGCCGACCCGGTGGATGTAGATCTTGGGGAGCCCAGGGGTGTTGTGGTTGATGACCACCTGCACCGTGGGGATGTCCAGGCCCCTGCAGACAGAGGCTGCTCAGTGGGGAAACTGAGGCTGAGCCTCCCCTGGGACGACTCAGCAGTGCTGTGCGGGCTGGCTGACCTGTCCCCAAGTGCCACCTCCCTGTCTAACCCATCTTCGGGGCCTTGGTGGCCACAGGGGACAGAGCCTGGCCTGGGGCACTCACCGTGAGGCCACGTCCGTTGCAATCAGGATCCGGTAGATGCTGGACTTGAACTTGGCCAGGGCAGCAAAGCGCTCTTTCTGTGCCGGGCCGGGAGGGTGTCAGGGTTTAGATGTGAAGTGTCCCCAGAGCCACATGGGCGGGGAGGGGGCGGGAGCAGGGCACTCTACCCAGGAGGGTTCATTGACAGCTCAGTGTGTTGCAGGGAGCTGGCGCCCGGATGTCAGGGCCATCGGGGCCATGAACATCGGGCACTTCTGTCCTGCTCCTCCTTTCTCCATTTCCTGGGCACCACGGGGCGAGCAGGTCCCCGCTCAGGACCCTATGCTGAGCTGACTGCCCAGGGACTACGTCCCCTAAGCTGTGAGCCAAAATAAACCTCTCTCCCTCTACACCGTGGGTGTCGGGTGTCCTGTCCCAGTGATGGGAAAGTGACCTCTAAGACCACGACAGCCCCTGGCCCACAGCTTAGTCCAGTGAAGCACAGGGCCTGGAGAGTGAAGGATGGGAGGGCGACAGGCTCGGCAGGGACCTAGAGACCAGCACCTGCTCTGATCACAGCACCCTGGGTGACCAAGGCAGGAGGATCACACCCTCCAGCCCAGCCTGAAACCCTGTTCCAAAGAGCCCAAAGTCAAAACAAAGCCACACGGCCCCAGACAGACGCTGGGTCTGCGCCAAGGCCCCGAGGGCAGGTGCCTCAGGGCCCTCACCTGCTTCATCATGGAGTGCAGCGCCACTGTGGGGAAGTTGAACCTGCGGAGCATCATACACAGGATCTGGCAGGTCCTGGAGGGACAGAGGTGACAGGTGACCACTGAGCCCTCCTGCCCCACCTGCCCCTGAGACACCAAGCGTGGGGGGGGGGCGCTTGTGCAGTTTAGAAATGAGACAGGGTGGGCCAGGGATTAAGCTCGGTGGTGCCCGTCACCTGCCCAACAAGCTCAAGGACCTGAGTTCAATCCCTGGTACCGGAAAAAAAAAAAAAAAAAGAGAGAAGGGGTCCAAGGCGTGGGGGCGCACACCTGTAATCCCAGCACTCAGGAAGCTGAGGCAGGAGAATCCTTGCAAGTTTGAGGCCAGCCTGGACTACATAATGAGACCTTGCCTCAAACACCCCAAACAAAAAGGAATGAGAAGAAATGCAGGCAGCAGCAGTCCTGCTGTCCTCTGTCCTCTGCCGCTCCCTCCCTCACACTGAAGCACAAAGAGCCCCCGGGGTGTGGCACAGGGGTAGAGAGAGCCCTTGCCTAGCTCGTGTGAGGCCCTGGGTTCCATCCCCAGTACACAAAATCCCAAAACAAAACTGGTTCCGGGGCAGGGTACAGCTCAGCAGCAGAGGCCACACTTTGCATGCAGGAAGCCGTGGACTCAGTGCTCAGCACCCCCCGCACCCCAAAAGGCCACTAGCAGCAGTGAGCTGCTGGACCCCACCATGCCCGAAGCCTCTGCATTCAACTAGTCTGTCAGGGAGCCACACCTCTGGACTGGCCTGACCTCCACTCTTCTACCCAGAGCTCCCCCCGCAGCTCAGAGGAGGGGTCCCTGACCTGGGGCCGAGGCACAGGGCCAGCCTCAGTGGATTGTCACATTTCCCAGCCAAGGGCCCGGAGGTGAACCCAGACTAGTGAAGCGACGGTGGCAACAGGTGCAGTAGTGGTTTCCTGGCCCATCCGAGCAGGGCGGTGTGCCAGGCAGAGGCCAGTGCTCACTTGCATGTGTTGGTGAAGATGATGATGGACCAGTCCTCGTGCTCGTCCTGGAAGCTCTGCACCAGGTGCACCAAGTAGGCGTCCTTGACCTTCTCGGGGACCAGCAGGTAGCGCTGGTCCAGCTGCTCCACGGTGCTCACCCTGGGCAAGTGGGGGCAGGCCTCAGTTCCCCCCTCCAGTCACCCACAGCCACCACCCTGCCCTGGCCTGCCCTGCCGACGCCAGAGGACTCACGGAGCCTGCGCCGCCCAGAAGAAGGGCTGGTTTGTGGCCAGGCCCTGCAGCTCCCGGAGCGTGTCAGTGAGTGTGGCGCTGAACAGCAGTGTCTGCCTGTGTGCTGGCACAGCTGCCAGGATGGTTTCCAGGTCGGCCGTGAAGTCGGTGCAGCCCTGCTCCAGCAGCCGGTCTGCCTCATCCATCACCTGTGGTGGGGACAGGGCGAGGCTAGGAGAACCCTGCATGCCCCAGCCTCACTCCCTACCAAGGCTCTGCCCCACCATCTTTACTGGGACTGGCTTCTTTCTTGTTGGTCCCTGAACTGCCCTTGTCACTATTTCTAGCTCCTTGACGGACAATCTGGGGGACCCATGGTTCCAGAATGGATGACGGGGCGCCCCAGGGCCCCATCCCGTGCCTGAGGGCCACCAGCTCACCAGGAAGTGGATCTTCTTGATGTGGAAGGTGTTAGAGCTGCGGAGGTGGTCCGCCAGGCGCCCCGGCGTGGCGATCACCACATGTGGTTTCCGGGAGAGCTCCAGGGCCTGGGCCACCATGTCTGGGGGAGGAGGGCGGGAGAGGAAGCTGGCTGGGGCCTCTGAGGCTGCGGGGGTCCCACGCCCAGGGCCCACCCAGCTACCCCCAGACCTCGTACCCATGCCACCGACGATGATGCAGTCTTTCAGGCCCAGCGGCTTTCCCAGCACTCGGAACTGCTCTGCGATCTGGTAGGCCAGCTCCCTGTAGGTGGTGGGAAGCGCAGTGTTCTGCCTGCCTCCCTGACCCAACTCTATCCCGGGGCTCCTCCCTGAGCCCCAGCTGCCCCTCTGTCCTCTCGTGCACAGCCACAGGTTCAGTGCTAACCCTCCACCTGGAATCAAGGTCCTGCTCAAGCTGGCTGTACCACGCCAGGCCCCCCAAACCCTTTCTGGGCCCCGCCTTTCTGATGCTTTGCACACAGATCCCTCTGGCTAGAATGTCTTTCAGTTTCCCGGGTGGGAGCCTGCTGGGAGCTCCAGTCTGCCAGCACTTGGCCTGAGCACTTTCTGCTTCATGCCTGCAAGAACACAGCTGATTCAAGTAAAAAAGTGAAAATAGAAAGAAAAAATGGAAACAAAGCTTTTGTACATAGGGAGGGGAGGGGGCTTGAAAGGGGGAATGGGATAAAATAAAACTTATTTTATAAAAACCCCACAGCCGGTTAATTCACCCCTAGTGGAGGACGAGGAGCTCACCTGGTGGGTGTAAGGACCAGGCAGAAGATGCCATAGGGATCCTCCGACAGCTTCTGCAGGATGGGGAGGACAAATGCTGCTGTCTTGCCACTGCCTGTCTTGGCACAGCCCAAGCAATCCCGACCTGCGCAGAGGGCAAAGCCATCCAACACACACTAGGCACAGGCAGCCAGTCCCATGGGCACAGTGTCCCACAGCCAACGGTGACTGATTGACTGGTGCTGGGGATCCAGCCAGGACCTCATGTGTGCTGGGTAAGTGCTCTATCAACGAGCCGAAGCCCATGACAGCCAACGTTTACAGCTGCTCTGTACCCAGCCCCAGCCTACACCTTTTCTGTTCTGGCACTGACAGCTTTCCACTGGGGGCAGCTGACAAATTCTAGCAAGGAGAAAGAAGCTGTTATTATTCTCATTTGGTAAAAGGGGAAACTGAGGCTGAGAGGGTCACCCAAGACACACGGCCGATGAGCAGCAGCTCTAGTGGAACTTACATGCAGCTGGCCCCAGACGTTGGTCAGCACCACCTGCTTTCTGAGAGCATTTGAACTTGGGGGACCCGGAATTCCCCTCACTTTAATCTGCACCCTATATTCCCTGTTGATCAGTTCCTCTTTGGTGACTTTGTTCCTCAACTTGTCACATCCTAGGTTTCCTGGGGGCGTCTCTTTAGGGGCAAAACTTACTAGGGCCAGGAGAGCAAGGAGAAGAGCAGTCATAGGACCACAAATGGAATCCTGGAATTACCAGCAACTCTGACAGCCTCCGTTTCTATTTGCGAAGCGACCAGTTCTGCCGATTTTTCACAGTACTATCGACTAGTCGTTCATCAAACCCTTCTAGAATTCAGAGTCTAAGAAAATTTCGGAAATATCACTTGAGAGCGTACACATGGCGAGTCAGTCCTACGAACTAAATGCCAATACTGCTCAATCGGCCTCAGCAGCCCGGGCTCGACCGTGATACCCGAGGCTGCCCGTCGCCTCGTGAGACCTGCCTGGACAACGACTACGCGGAGGGAAAGGAGGCGAAAAGAGCGAAGACGCTTCTGGGGGAAACTTCTGCTCCACACTTACCTTCCAGAATGGCTGGAATGCAGCCGAGCTGCACAGGCGTGGGCTGTTTCAAGCCGAGCTGCCGACATTGTTCCACTAGCCACGACGATAGTCCGAGCTCCGCGAAGCCTGCCATTTTCTCGAGGAGTCCTTAGGCCCTTGTGAGCGGTGCTTCCGGCGCATATCTATGACGTTCTTTAGTTCCCGTTTATTGGATCCGCTTCCTGTGTGGTTCCACCCACTTCAGCTCACTTGACCAATCGCAGCTTTGACCGCATCTCTTCATATTTCCCCGAATTCCACACGCTTGCAGGACCAAATGAAACTATAATTCCCGCGGTGCTTTGCGAGACGCGCTTGCGTCTCCCGTCCCCTTACTCATAAGAGCCTCCCATTGGCTCATTCAATGAAACGAGAAATGGGTAAACTACACTTCCCATAGTGCTCTGTGGTGGGGCCTCTACTTCCGGCCGACGTGTCTGTCCGGAAGAGTAGCGAGTAAGGCGACAGCGACATGGCACCTCCAGCCCCGGGTCCGGCCCCCGGGAACTCCGGGGAGGTGGACGAGTTGTTCGACGTGAAGAACGCCTTCTACATCGGCAGCTACCAGCAGTGTATCAACGAGGCGCAGCGGGTGAAGGTGCGGGCGCGCCGGGGCGGGAGAGGCTTCCTGGTGGCGGGGCTGCTGTTCCTCTCAGCTTCTAAAACCTGTTCCTCTTCTCGCGTCCACTTCACCACGCTCTTCAGCGTCAGTGAGGAATAATCACTCTCTCGAGACAAAACGCAAAGGAGTAGCTTTTTTGGTTTTGTTTTACTGATAGAATTGCTCACTGGGCGTCCTGGACGGCATTTGAGTAAGGGATATATTTATGTCACCATAATAACTTAAAATTTTTATTTTCAAATGAGACCTCGCAGTGTTGCCGAGGCTGGCCTTGAAGTCCTGGGTCGAAGTGATCCTCCTGCCTCAGCCTCCCAAGTAACTGGGAATTACGGTGGGCGCCACCGCCCTGGCTAACAGTGATTTTGATTATTTATCCCGCCCTAACCTCAGCACCCATATGACAGGGACGTTTGCTTAACTTTATCTTTTGGTGAGTTTTTGGTGAAAACACTCAAGTTTTCAGTTTGAGTAATGGCTTTCCTGGTGTTACTGTTCTGTACTATTGTGGTTATTTCTCCCAAAGCCCACTCATTCATTCATTTTAACTGAGATTTGTATGGACCAGACACTTTCTGCTGGGCTCGAAAAGAGACGAAATAGACAAAATCCCAGCTCTCTTAGAATGCTAACTTAGCAACAAAGACAAATTGTGAGCAAAAAAATAAAGAAGTCGGGAAATAACAAGAGAATGCTGTGGTAACACTGCTTGGCTATTCGAGGGCTGGAAAACAGTCCAGCTTGGCAGGGCCACGCAGGAAAGGGGTGATGTCTAAAGGAGGAGCAGCGGGGATGTATCTTGCAGGATCCCTTGGGGGTGTGGGTGTTGTCACTCTCCCCCTCACCACAGCCCCGGTGCTTTTTTTGTTGTTGTTTTTTGAGGTACCCGGGATAGAACTCAGGACCTTGCAATTGTAAGGCAGGTGCGGTGCCACTGAGCTAAATCCCCAGCCCTTTAGCTTTCATTTTGAGTCAGGGCCTCCCTGAGTTGCCCAGGCTGGTCTGGGACTTGTGATCTTCCTGCTTCAGCCTCCCAAGTAGCTGAGATTACAGGTGTGGGCTGCAGTGCCCAGCTTGTTACTGTTACCTGAGCCTGAGCTGTTGGAGAATGCATGAGGGCACAAACGTGTGCAGCAGGGTCTTTGCCTGCTGTAGGGCTGGGGGTGCAGCTCAGTGGTGAGCGCTTGCCCCGAATGTGTGAGGCCTTGCGTTCCACTTCAGCACCTAAAAAATAAAAGTGAAAAGAAAGGTGGTAAACAAGTAAAGAGGGGAGAGAATATATAATTACAACCTGAGATGGGCACCGTGGATGGAGGGGCACACAAAGTACTGAGGCAGAGATAAGACCGCCCTGCTTCATGTGGATCAGGCCAGGCCCCTGTGACAGTGCCTTTGAACTTGACCCTGCAGTGTGAGAAAGGGAACCTTGTAAGTTCTCTCATGAGGTGCAGGGGCAGGGATGAGCTCAGGGTACTCCAGGCATAAAAGTAGGGAGGGGGCGTAGCTCTGTGTAGAACTTGTGTTTAGCATGTGTGAGGTCCTGGGTTCCAATCCTAGCACTACACACACACTAAAACACACACATACACACCCACACGCCAAAACAGAACCTCAGACAGACTTCAGGAAGCTGTTAGGATGTGTTGAAGCAGAATTTCCATGATCGTATTTTATCTTATCCAGGCCTGGTGGTGCACACGCCTGTCATCCCAGCACTCGGGAACCTGAGGCAGGAGGATTACCAAGACTTCCAGGCCAGTGTGGGCTACTTAGTGAGTTCAAGGGCAGCCGGGACTACATAGTGAGACCCGTCTTAAAATAATAAACAAATAGAAAAAGCATAATAGGGGCTGGGGATTTAGCTCAGTCGTTCTGGCACCTGCCTCGAAAGCACAAGGTCCTAAGTTCAATCTCTGGTAAACAAACCAAAAAAAGCATAATATTTGCATAAAATCTACAAACATTCTCTCGTAGTCTTTTTTCTTTTTGGTACCGGGGATCTAACTCGGGTCCTTGCGCTTGTGCTGCAGGCAGCGAAACCACTGAGCTAAATCCCTGCCCCCTCTCGTAGCCTTGAAATCACTTTTAGGTGATGTAAAATATGTAACACAATGTAAATACTAGGTAGGTAGTTGTCTCCTATATTATTTAGGGAATGATGACAGAATCTTCTGGCCCCCCCAGCAGCTGGGATAGGGAACCCCAAGGTGGCAGCGGGTCCATTGCCCGTTTGTCATCCTGGAGGTTTTCTGTGCCATGGACCTACCAAGTGTCCACCAGATGGCAGCAGCGTCCAGGGGTCAGGGAGCCCTGCGGTCCGACTCTGCTGGCCACTGAACAGTGCGGGGGGCTTTGCCTGCAGTCCCTACCCCATCACCACCTGCCAGCGTACAGATGGGGGCCTGGCCAGAGAAGGGACTGCAGTGTGGGGTGGCGCAGACACTCACTGAGGGCTGGAGCCGGGACTTGGTGGGGAACTTCATCTGCGTCGGGCCTGTGGCCTGTGGTGGCGGTGACCGCGTCGTGGTCCTGGCCTGCCCCGGCAGGGAGCACACTAGGTCTGCATCTGCTCCAGGCAGGGCCACTGCTGAGCTGCTCGCCGAAGGGAATGACGGGACAGGCGCGGCGGGCCTGGGGGGACCAGGGTGGGTCAGGATCCCGCTCAGGGCCTCAGGTTGGCAGCTGAGCCTGTGCTCGGGTGAGGGGATGAGTGGCGGCTGCCTGACACCCCCAAGTGTAGGTCCTGGCTCAGCAGGGCCCCTGTGAGAGGTGCCCCGGAACCGCCAGCCCTGAAAGGCGGCTGTTGTCGCGCATCTGCGGTCCCTGGGCCGCTCTCGCCTGTGGCTGCCCAAGTCCCCACGCACTGTGTCGTGTCCCTGCTGTGGCCGGCGGCCCTCCCTGTGGGACCTCAGTGGATTTTCATCTCTAGGTGACACTGGGGCGTTCCTTGTCACGGTGGCCCAGTCCTGGCCAGCAGGTGCTGTGTACTTCCGCAGAGCCGGGTGTCCGTGCCTGGTAATTTGCCACCTGCCTCTGCCCTCTGTTTTGTGTTCGGGGGGGCGGCCGCTGTGTGTTTTTCGCAGTAGTGAGGGTTGAACCCAGGGCCTTCATACTAAGCTATATCCCTGCCCCTTTTTACTTTTTATTTTGAGACAGGGTCTTGTGAAGTTGTCCAGGCTGGGCCCAAATTTCCATCTTCCTGCCTCAGCCTCCTGAGTGCCAAGATTGCCTTACTTTTGTCAGATCCAATTCCAGGCTCCCATTCTCTGGCCTCTGGGGGACACAGCTTTGCTTTTGGTTCACATTCGATCCCTGAATCGTGAACTGAAGGGAAGCCGTGCTGACCTGGAACCTCCCTCAGTCCTGGCCCAGCTTTGCGTGTTGTCCTTGTTCTCACACTTCCGGCTGCAGGTGTCCTGGGGCATGGGGGCCCCTGCAGGGCCAGCGATCCTTCTGCCGTTGTACGTGGGGCAGCTGAGGCCAGCCTGTGCCCTTCTCAGCGTCGCACTGTGTCCTCTGAAAGATGCCAAGAACCGCATTTGTGTGGGGTTTTTTTTTTTTGGTTTTTTTTTTTTTGGTACCAGGGATCAAAGTCGGGTCCTTGCGCTTGTGAAGCAGGCGGTGGAACCACTGAGCTAAATCCCCGGCCCCCCATTTGTCTGTTTTTACTGTGGGTGGTTTGGGGACCCCAGGCTGGAGGTCGTTGATGGTGTTCACAGTTGAGAGTCATCCAAAGCTCATGTATTTAAAGGACTGTGCTCCAAGTGGCAGCCACCTGGACAGAGCTGCTGGGACTTAGGGACACCCATCTGAGCCCCTGGGGCCAGGTCTCCTTGGCCTTTGAGGAGGACAGGAGGAACAGGAGGGGCTTTGTGGCCACCCCGTGCCTAAGCTGCGTCTTGACCTGCCCGTGTCCCCACAGCTGACCAGTGTGGAGAAGGAAGTAGAAAGAGACGTCTTCCTCTACAGAGCATACCTGGCGCAGGTGAGTGGGCCGGACAGGAGGGGCCAGTGTCCAGAGAGGTGCCACTGAGCCAGGGGTGGGAATGGCAGACAGCCGGGCTCCACTGCAGGCTTGACCCGCCATGAGCTGGTGGTGTGGCCCAGCAGGTAGGCGGCAGCCACCCAGGCCCTGGCAGCCAGGCCCAAGGACCCGTTGGAGGTTTGGATACTGGTGTGTAGGGTCTGTCTGGCTGTGTGGCTAGGCTGGTCTCCAGCTCACAAGCCTCCTGTTTCAGCCTCCCACGTGCTGGGATGATGGAACAAGCCACCAGACCCAGCTTGATGTTTGTCGTGTGTGTGTGTGTGTGTGTGTGTGTGTGTGTGTGTGTGTGTGCGCGCGCGCGTGGCTGGATGTGTCAGTGCACACCTTAGTCCCAGCTACTCAGTGGGCTGAGGCAGGAGGATGGCGAGTCGGAGGCCAGCCTGGACATTGTATTCACACCTTGCCTCAGAATAGCATGGACCTGGCTGGGGAAGTGGCGTAGCACTCCCTGGGTTTTAGCCCCACTGCTGAAACAAAAAGAGAAAACTGCACAACAGGAATGGGAGCCACTTGGCGGGCAGCAGTCAGGGACAGGACGGCTGGCTCTGTGAGCAGGAGCAGGGCTGTCACATGCTGACAGGACCTTGGGCCACAGCCCCATCCCCGGTGGCTGATGCTGCCCTGACCCGGGCTGGTGCCCACAGTCACTGTCCCCTCGGCACCAGGGGAGGGCAGTTGGGACAGGGCAGGGACCATCCCTCAAGCAGTGGGTGAAGGGCTGACAGGCGAGGTCCCCAGGTGCCCATGATGGTCGCCCCCTGCTGACCCCCCTGGGGTACTGCCGTGGGTGTCACCAAGGCTGGGCCAAGGGGCCCCTGAGCCAGGCGAGTGGGCTTTCTCCAAGGAGCCCCACCATGACGATGCTGGTGGCTGCGCCAAGGACACAGAAATCTTCCCAGGGTTTCTACTCAGGAGGCTGAGGCAGGAGGGTCTCAAGTTTGAGGCCACCCTGGGTAACTAGAGAGACTCTCGAGTCAGAGCCCTGGGTGAGGGTGGGCAGAGGCTGACTGTGTAACCCTCACAGAGGAAGTATGGCGTGGTGCTGGATGAGATCAGGCTGTCCTCCGCCCCGGAGCTCCAGGCTGTGCGCATGCTTGCTGAGTACCTGGCCAACGAGAGCCGCAGGTGAGGTTGGGCAGGTGGGCGGTTCTGAGGCCTGTGAGCTGCCCTGGGCAGGCCCTCTCTGCCCTGTACCGATTTCCCCTGCCTCATGTACATGCTGGTGTACACAGGCCTTGGGTTCTGTTCCCAGCAAAAGTAGCATGTGTTGCTGTGCTCAGGGGACAGTCAGAGACACAGACGTGTCAGGCCATTGCCTAGTGCCCTGCGTGGCCAGTGGGGCCTGCCTGACACCTCACCGAGCCTGCAGTGGGTCCCTCGGGCGTGGGGAGTGGACAGGGCCACATCAAGTCCTGTCCCAAGCTGCACACCTTTGTGGAGGAGGCAGGATCAGGCTGCAGCACCCAGGAGCACCGTGCCTTCTGGTGAGGTGGCCACCGCCTGCGGGTCAGGGCACACCCCACCTACCCTGCCAGTGTGTCCTCCTGCCTCAGGATCCCCATCTCAGGATTCTGTGAGAAGTGCTTGTGGGAGGTGACCAGGTCGGAGCCAGGGCATCCAGGGCCCCTTGGCCTCCTGGGGAGCGGGGTCCGGGTGTGCCCTGAGCGGGCGTGTCTTGCAGGGATGCCATCGTGGCCGAGCTGGACCGGGAAATGAGCAGGAGCGTGGACGTGGCCAACACCACCTTCCTGCTCATGGCTGCATCCATCTACTTCCACGACCAGAACCTGGACGCGGCCCTGCGCACCCTGCACCAGGGCGACAGCCTGGAATGGTGAGTGCCACTCTCGCCCAGGCGCCCGCTCTTTCTGTGCTCTACAGGGTGCTCCTGACCTCCCGAGCTCGAGCAATCCTCCTGCCTCAGCCACCCCAGGAGCTGGACTGCAGGTTTGCGCCATGGGGATGCTCAGTGCATTTCCCACTGCTGTGACAGTCACCAGACTGGGAAATGGATGGCGAACACAGGGGTCTCTGGGGGCACTGGAGGCTGGAAGTCCCAGGGCAAACCCCGGGATCAGCGAGAGCCTTGGGCTGTGTCACAGTTTGAGCGGATGGGGACCAGCTTAGCCGTCGTCAGAGCCCGCTGACTGCCACAGAAGTGGCCTAGCCCGTCCAGGGAAGAGCTTCAGGCTCCTGGCTGGTTTTTTTGTTTGTTTGCTTGGGTTTTTCTGAGGCAGGGTCTCACTGTGTACCCCAGGCTGGCCTGGAACCTGTGGTGACCCTCCTGCCTCAGCCTTTTGAGTGCTATTCTGAATGGTGGGATAACAGGCGTGTGCCACCACACCCAGCCTCCTTGCCTTTTAGAGGGCCTGCCTCCCTAATCTGTTACATATAATCCAGCTACTAGGGAGGCTGAGGCAGGAAGATCGTAAATTTAAGCCCAGCCTGGGCCACATAGTGAGACCCTGCCTCAAAATAAAAAGGGTAAGGGGTGTAGTTTAGGGATAGGATGCCCTACCCGGCCAAAACCAAGACCGAAAAAGAGCAAGACGGACTTGGACCGGAGCTTTGGAGGGGACCTTGAGGGATGGCCAGGGCCATGTGTGGCCCCTCCGGGGATCTCCAGGCCGTTGTCGTGGACCGGCCCCCCTCAGGCTGGGTATCTGTCAGGCCAGGACATTCCCGAGTCCATGGCTGGGCAGGTGCTCCAGGGACACGGCGGTGGGCGCTGGCCCTGAGAACCCACAGTTCCTGAGCACAGAGCAGAAAACACCTTTGTCCCTGCTCCAGGTGCTGTCCTTCCGGCTTCGAGCAGCCCTGGGCTCCCTGCTGTGGGCTGAGCTGTGCACGGGTCCCGGGCCCTCCTGGGGACAGCGGGGCGGCTGCCTCCGCCCCTCGCAGTGGAGGCGGGATGGTGACACGGGCGCGTGTTCCCCTTCCCAGGACCCCGCAGCTGGGACAGAGGGTTGGGGCCCTGATGTGGCTCGGTGGTGAGCACTTGCCCAGCATGTGCAAGGCCTGGACTCACTCCCCGATGCTGCAGATACAGAAATAAGTAAACGAAAAGAAAGCCGGGTGTGGTGGCACAAACCTGTCCTCCCAGCCCCTGGAAGGCTGAGGCAGGAGGATTGCTGTGAGTTCAGTCCCAGCTTGGGACTCAGTGAGCTCAAGGCCAGCACGGACTGCACGGCGAGACCCTGTCTCAAAAAGCAAAACCAAAAAAAGAGGGAAAAGAAGCAAGCACAGGCCTCAGGCGTCAGCCACTGACCCTGGGCCTGATCTGGCCCCTGCTTGGCAGGAGACTCGGGCCCAAGTGGCCCATAAGTAATCCATGGTCTCAGCCGCTGGGGCAGGAAGGACGCCCCAGGGCCCTGGTGTGGACGCCCAGGCACAAGGGCAAGTGCTCTCCTGTCCTCAGGGCTGCAGTGACCGGCTCTGCCTGCACGCATGGCCGTGTCCTGGAGGCCGCAGGGCCGTGGGGGAGCAGGAATGTTCTGGAAGGGAGGCCCTGCATCTGTGGCCCCTGCTGACACCGCCCGCCTGTCCGCAGCATGGCCATGACCGTGCAGACCCTGCTGAAGCTGGACCGCCTGGACCTGGCCCGGTGAGCCCCACCCCCACTTCCCTCCCTCCCATCCTGCAACCCGCCTTTCTGCGCAGCCCGGGCCTGTGTCCGAGGCCGGGGCCCAGCCACTCAGCACTGCTGTGTCTTCAGGAAGGAGCTGAAGAGGATGCAGGACCAGGACGAGGACGCCACGCTCACCCAGCTGGCTACCGCCTGGCTCACCCTGGCCGTGGTGAGCCCCACTGTGCGGGCAGGGGTGGTCCTTGACCCCATTCTGCAGCCCTCAACGGCTGCTCGGGGCTGTGGAGGCCAGTGTTGTCAGGGACAGGACACCCCATGCTGGAGCCTGGCTCTGTGCCCTGTCCCGGGGGGCGGCCAGCTCTTCCCACGGACGCTGTGCGGTGCCCTGGCCTGGCCCCGGGCCCGGCCCCGGCCTCCGGGCAGCCGCCCCTTTCTGGTTCCTGGGACTTGGCTTCCTTTCAAGCTACTCTTTTGTCCCTGTCCTTTTCCTTTCCAATGTGGCCACTGTCTCTGCCTGTGGGGGCCAGTGCCTCATGCGGAGGAGCCACGCAGCCCTGAGAGCTTCGGGACGTTGTCTTTCTTTTTGAATATTTTAAAGTTAGTTATTTTTTGTTTTTTGAGATGGGGTTTCACTATATATTCCAGTTTTGCCTTGAACTCACTATGTATGGGCTCAAACTTACGGTAGTTTTCCTGCCTCAGTCTCCTAAGTCCTGGGATTCGGTGTTTACCAGCACATTGGGTATTTTCACTTTGTGGCAGTGCTGGGCTTGAAGCGCTGGGCTCAAGTGATCCATCTGCCTCAGCCTCCTAAGTAGCTGGTACTATAGGGTGCACCATCACGCCTGGCCTAATTTTATATTTTCCCCCGCCTATCTTGGTCTCAGGTCCCCTGGCAAGTGTCACAGTGTCACTAACATGGGGATAGGCTGGCTGCTGCCTGGCAGCAGACACCGCCCCACTGGGCCCACAGTGTAAACAGCACCTGGGGAGCGGCTCTCAGGGATGGGTGCACACCTGGCCAAGGTGTCTGAGGCGGGCAGCAGTGACATGTGGCTGTCCCCGCAGGGTGGCGAGAAGCTGCAGGACGCCTATTACATCTTCCAGGAGCTGGCGGACAAGTGCTCAGCCACGCTGCTGCTGCTCACGGGACAGGCGGCCTGCCACATGGCCCAGGGCCGCTGGGAGGCGGCAGAGGGGGTGCTGCAGGAGGCGCTGGACAAGGTGGGGGCTGGGCAGGACTTGGCCCTCACCCATGGGGCTGGCCAGCGCCGCAGTTCTGCCCAGGTGCTGGGGGTGGAAGCTGCACCTACCAGGACCACGCAGGGCAGGGGCCTGCAGGGCAGAGGGCTGCAGGGCGGTGCTGTGTCCTGTCCCGGGGTCTCTGACAGGTTGGTGTCCCGCTGCCCACACCCAGGACAGCTGGCGCCCCACCTCAAGCGCAGGAACAATGGGGCCTCTCGCTGGGCCGTCCCCATGCTGGTCGCCTGGCCTGGCTGGCAGCTTCGCTGACTCCCACCTGTCCAGCCCACAGCAGGCCCCCGGTCCCAGCTTGCAGCGCCCTGGACCGTCCCGGTTCTGTTCCTGTCCCTCAGCATCCCTCGCTGTCCCCATGGGCATGGCCTCAGTGTGGCATCTGCCTATGCTCTCGTCCTGGGTATACCAGCGGGCAGAGAGGTTGGCCCCTGATGAGGCGCCCAAAGCCGTGTGTCATCCCAGCACTCGGGAGGCTGAGGCAGAAGGCTCGGCACGAGTTCCAGGCCAGTCTAGGCTACATAGTGAGTTCAGGCCTGGCCTGGACCCCATAGCAGGACTCCACCCCCCAAAAAGCAAACAAGCTGTCAGCCCAGTCCCAAAGGGTAGCTGTCCCAGCTTGACAGCCCTCGGCGGTGACACCCGTGTGCGGTGTCCCCAGGATCCCGTCCTGTGGGCAGGCCGTGGTGGTGGGAGCCTCCCAGGCTTCCTCCAGTGCCCCGAGCAGGCGGGCGACGGGTGACAACTCAGCAGCACTGGAGGGCATCCTGGCCCTCAGGATTTGTGGCAGATGTGCCCTGCGGCACAGGCCTGGGGCTGTGTCACCAGTCCACAGAGAGCAGCTGGTGGGGTGGTCAGTGGGAGGCAGGGTTGGGTGTGTCCCGTGACCTGGGGCGCGGTTGGGGAGACTTGAGTGGGCCCCAGGGCAGGCTGGGTGGGTGGTTTGGGCTCGGGGCCCTGAGTCAGTGACGCTGCCCCCAAATCCTGCTCCAGGACAGCAGCCACCCCGAGACGCTGGTCAACCTGGTCGTCCTGTCGCAGCACCTGGGCAAGCCCCCTGAGGTAGGCAGTGCCACGGGCGGGGGTGTGGCTGTCTCCGGCCCGCATGGTCTGTCTGGTCTGTCTCCGTTGGCCGCCTTGGCACAGTTAGACACCGCGTTGGTCGCTTATCTCGGTGTCCTGAATCCACATGCCTGGAGATGAGGTTTGCTCAGGGCTGTGCAGCCTGGTTTTGCTGCCTGGTTTCGCAGACAGACGCTCTGGAAAGGATGGATTTGACCCAGCATTTAGAAAGTTTACCATTCCGGCCGGGTGTGGTGGCGCACTCCTGTAGTCCCAGCACGCACCCTCGGGAGGCTGAGGCAAGAGGATCGCCATGCTCTCAAGACTAGCCTGGCCATGTAGTGAGACCGTGCCGCAGAAAGACAGTTTCCCATCTGCGTCAGCTTTCCCCTGCCAGGACGCAGTTCCCAGCAGCCACAGCTTCTAGGGCAGGGGTTGAACTTGGCCCCTGGGTTCGGGTTCAGTCCCAGGCAGGAGGGTCGTGGGAGCAGAGCTCTACAGCTCACGGTGACCAGGAAGCTGACAGGGCAGTGCGGAGGTGGAGGGGCCACGGACTGTGCCTGGCACTCTGCGGCCCTCCCAGACGCGCCCAGGAGCCTGCTCTGCTGCCCCCCAGGTGTTAGTCCAGCCCTTTTTTATTCATTATGAGCCAGGGTCTCATTAAGTTCCCCAGGCTGTGTGCAAATGTGCAGTCCTCCTGCCTCAGCCTCCCTGAGCACTGTGGTGACGAGCGTGTGCCACCGGGCCTGGCTGCAGAAGGTTCCTGTGGTGGTCTCTGGCTGTGTCACCGGCAGGGGTAGGGGGCAGCTGGTTCCACGGGCCCAGCAGAGGCGTGGGCACAGGGTGGGGTGGCCGTGGGGTGGAAGATGCTGGGTCCTGCAGCCATGCTCACCTCCCCTTCAGAACCACCGCCCGGCCCCCAGCCCGCTGTCCCATCCTGCACACAGCTGGGCACTGTCCCTCTCCCAGCCCACCGCCCGCCCTCTGATGCGACACCAGCCGTGTGGGTGCTGGCCTGTGCTGGGCTCCGACCCAGGTCACCACTGGCCCTCAGCCTGGTGTGGGTGGAGAGGCTGGGACCCTGGCCCTCCCGGCCCCCGCCTGCAGGTCCCACAGCTGGCTGACCTGGCCCACTGCCCCACAGGTGACAAACCGCTACCTGTCACAGCTGAAGGATGCCCACAGGTCACACCCCTTCGTCAGGGAGTATCAGGCCAAGGTGAGAGGGGTGTGCCAGGCCTGTCCCCAGCCCCCAGCCTGTGGAGCAGGCGCGGGGCTCACCTGTCCTCCCTCCCCGTCCCCGTCCCTTCCTGCTGAAGGAGAACGACTTCGACCGCCTGGTGCTCCAGTATGCGCCTAGCGCCTGACAGCCTCGGGACGCCCAGGCAGACCCGCACTCCAGCCTGGCCCTCACCCTCACGCGTGCCCTGCACTGCCAATAAACGTCTGGCTCTGGTGTCGCTGTTGTGCTGTGCTCTGTGCCGTGGGGGCATCCGTGCCGTGCCGTGCCGTGCCATGCGTGCCTGTGGGGAGACCAGGGCACTGAGGGCCCCGGCCCATGCTCCTGAGCTGCAAGTGGCACAGCTGAGGCCCCAGGGGGACCTGGGGCAGCCTTGGTTGGCATCCAGGGAAACTGAGGCCCAGATGTACCCTCTAGCCCTGGCGATGTGTGTCAGGATTCCGGCCCAGGACTTAGGCACCCCAGCTGCCTGCAGAGGGCAGGGGCTGGGGACACATTGGCCCCCACCCCTGCGTCCTTGCAGCTAAGTGGTGTCACTGCCAGGATGGGGACCCTGGGGACCTGCGCTCTCGGGCCTGGGCCACCTAGGTGGGGAAGCACTGGCCCACGCCCCACAGAGAAGTTGGCGCCAGTCTCCTGTGTGGTCCCCATGCACAGCCCTGAGCGGGGAGTCCCCGGTGCTGGCCTGGCCACCACCTGTCTGGACCAGGCCCAGCTTGCCGGCGAGCATGTAACAGCCTGGGATGAGTGTGGCTTCTGCCAGCCTCAGGCCTCGGGCGCCCGCCTCAAACCAGGGCGGATAGGGTGGCAGGGGACCTGGTGGTGAGAGGCCTCCGTGGGCAGCGGCATCCAGAACTGGTCCCTGAGATGAGCTTGGGGGGACAGCCTGGGAGCCCTGCGACCCCCCCCCCCAACCTCGCTACCAGAGAAACTGAGCTGGCCTGCCTCACAAGCACAAGGTCTCTAGTTTGATCCCCGGTAGCAAAAGCAAAGAAACTGAGCTGGGCGCGGGCGGGCGGCCTCTCCTGTTACCTCAGATGGGCGCCATGGCAACCAGATAGCGCAGGGCTCACCTCCTGGCCTCCAGCTGGGCCTCAGGACCTGCACCCACTCCCCCAGGCCAAACCCTTAGCCACATGAGGGGACAGCGCTGGGCAGGTGACCTTCGGGGGTGTGGTGTGGCCAGGAGGGATGGCGTTTAAATGCAGTCACTGAAGCCCGCTGAGCAGGTGACATGGGGCAAGGCGAGGCAGGCGGTGGAGATACAGGGCTCCCGAGAAAGGCTGGGCAGGCTGGGGAGGAGCAGCTCTCCCAGCTGGGGCTGCGGGTGGGCCAGGGTCCAGGGCTCGGGGAGGGAGCCCCGTCCCCGCCCCCGTCTCACTGCGTGCCCCAGGCTAGGTGGGAGCCAGGCTAGCTCCTGGTGGGCACTGGTGTCCAGGGAGCCATTGTCCCCAACTGAGGCAACTGATGTCCTCATCGATGGCTCTTGGAGGCTCAAGGTGCAGGCGCTGGGCCTAGCCAGGGGATGGTCACCTGGGGTGGTCTCAATCAAGTGATCTGTGAGTGGCATTAGAGATGGAGCCCAGGGCCTTTGCACTGAGCTATTCCCTGGTCCCCTTTTATTTTTTATTTTAAGACAGGCTAAGCTCAAACTTGCAATCCTCCTGCCTCAGCCTCCCAGAGAGCTGGGATCACTGGCTTGCACCACCATAGCCGGCTAAGATGGGTCTTGATCCAGATTCTTAACCCTGCTCCACGATGTCGCTCACCCCAGGCTCCTAGCGGGCTGTGGTGACCCCATGCCGGCGTGGCCCTGGACTGCCCCAGTCCTCTCGCAGGCAGTCCTAGCCCCAGCACGGCAACTTCAGCCGCTCTGCGTCCCGCAGCCTGCCCCGGGCGGGAGGAGCAGGACCCCACGCCAGGGTGCCAGGAGGGCGAGGGGGAAACCCTCTCAGGGAGCCTCGGGAGGCCACCGGGTCGTCAGAGACTTGTCAGAAGCGCTAGGCCTCAGGTCCACGAGGCGCGAGGGCTCAGGGACTGCGAAAAGCGGAGCTGGCGGCCCAGGGCACCACCCGCTGGTGCTCGCAGAGTCCGTGACGCGGACCCCCGGGTTTGCTCCTCTGGAAGAGGGGTGCGCCGGGGCCCGCCCCGCCGCGCCCCGCACGCCCCCGTCGGGGCGGAGCTCGCGCCGGCCCCGCCCCTCCGTCCTTGATGCTGGGCCCCGCGCGCCCCCCGTCCGGAGGCGGCGCGTGACGCGGGCGCTCGGATCCGGCGGCCACCGCGGGCAGGCGGCGGGGACAGCATGGCGGCGGCGGGGACCGCGGCGGGGCACGGGGCTCCCGAGCCGATGCCGAGCTACGCGCAGCTGGTGACGCGGGGCTGGGGCAGCGCGCTGGCGGCGGCGCGGGGCTGCGCGGACTGCGGCTGGGGGCTGGCGCGCCGCGGCCTGGCCGAGCACGCGCACCTGGCACCGCCCGAGCTGCTGCTGTTGGCGCTGTGCGCGCTGGGCTGGACCGCGCTACGCTCCGCAGCCACCGCGCGCCTCTTTCGGGTCAGTGGGTCCCGGGCTGAGGCGGGAGGCGGGGACCCTAGGCCGGGCGGTGGGGGCGGATGGATCGGCCCGGGGACTCAGGGCCCAGGCCCCCACGTCCCTTGGTGCTGGCCGAAGTGGGGATTGGGGGGGACCAGGATGTGGGGGGCCTCGAGCTGAAGAGGCTGGAACATTGGGGCCCCTGCGCGCCCCTTTTCCTCCTGCAGAGTAGAGGGTGGGGTGATGCGGGGGTGTGGCCTGCGCGAGGGGGCGCTCGGGTTGGGTGTTCCGGACGTGGGGACCCCAGAGCTACCCTTCCCGGCGGGGCGCGGGGGGGGCCGAGGCCGCCCCGCGAGGCGGGGGGGCTCGGGCTGCTGCGTGCTCTTTCGGACAAGGCCACGCTGGGGATGCGGCGCGCAGGGCCGGGTCGGCGTGGCCTTGCTGCGCACAGGTCCCCTGCGCCACGCGCCCTGGCCGTGCGCCCTGGGCAGTGCAGGGTGCGCTTGGGGCCAGAACGGGGCCGCCGCGGGGTCTGCGCCGGTTGCCCTCGGCCATCGGCCCTGGAGCGGTGGGGCTGCCCGGTCCTGCCTCTCGCCCCTCTGGGTCACTGCCACCCTCCAGTCAGGCAGTCAAGGGCCTGGGTGTCGGGGCCACCAAGCTGGTGGTCCCGCCCTTGGAAGTGACCTGGCCGCCGTCTCGCGCTGGACTGTGCTGCCTCCAAGGGGCGATGACCCGAGTGTCTGGAGGCCAGAGGAGAGTGACCGCGGCGGTGACATTGGTTCTCGACCTCGTCCTTTTCCTGGGGGGGCTCTGGCAGGAGCTGGTGGAGGGGTTGGGTTCGCTGGCGTGGTTGTGACCCCCCGGGAATGGCCGGGGTCAGGCCGCCTCAGTCCGACGGGAGGTGGGCGAGGGTTCGGTGACAGGGCGACCAGGCCAACAAAGGGGCCTTTCTGTGTGACTGGGAAGAGGCTGGCCCTTGGGAGGTCAAGACGGGTGTCGTCTAGCGCGGGTGTGAACAGGGTCTCCCACAGGCCCCATCAGCTGTTTGGCTTCCCGCACCTTCCCGGGTTCCAGCCAGGAAGCCAGCGCCCCGGGAGGATGAGGGGCTGGCGGGGCATCGGGGCGGGGCGTCCCCCCCCCCCGTGCCTGAGGGACCCGGGCAAGGGACAGCGGGGACCTGGAGGCCTCGGTGTTGGAGTCGTCCCCAGCCTGGATGGGGCGGCCTCCCCAATTCCAGCCTCGCCCTTCCCAAGAGATGGGCGGAGAGCCTGCCCCTTTTCCAAAGCGCATCTTCTTGGCAGCAGTCTGGTTGCCAGGGGTTACCAGCGCGGGCTCTGGCTGTCTCCATGACAACCACTCTGGGCTGCTCCGGCCCCCTCAGCCTGGAGGAAGGGGCGGGGCTTGCCCGGCACCCAAGGCCCCGGCCCAGGCAGGGCGCCCGCCCCTCCCACCCGCAACCCTTCCCCTTCCTCCCAGCCCCTTCCTGCTGGGGTCGCCCTTGTGTGTTTGCGCTTGCCTCCCGACCTCCACTTGTCTTCCTCATGTCTTCCCAGCCTCCCTGGCCCCCTGGTTTGCTGTGGTTCCCCCAAACCACCCCTCCAGGTGCACTCTGCCCTGCGCTTCTCTCTCACCCCATGGGGGTACTTTGGCTTTGCCAGCCGCCTTTTCCCCAGGTGACCCCGTTTCTCCCTTCCTGGGTCTTCTAACTCCCGCCCTGCCCTCATCACACCTGGCTTACCTGCGCCCGATCCTCCCTGGACCCCCAGGCTGGCCCCAGGGACTCGCCCTCTTTAGGACGGGTGTCTCGCTCCCCAGCGTGAGGCAACAGCTGAGTGTTAAATTTAGTCCCTGGCAGTGGGGCCTGGGCTCTGGTTACGGACCTGGCAGGGACGGCAGGGACGGATGCGCTGCTGGCCGGCCCGGCCTTGGTGTCCCCACCACCGGCGCCAACCGCCCCACCTTCTCCCCGCAGCCCCTGGCCAAGCGGTGCCGCCTCCTGCCCCGCGATGCCGCCAAGGTGCCCGAGAGCGCCTGGAAGTTCCTGGTCTACCTGGGCTGCTGGAGCTACAGTGCCTACCTGCTGCTGGGCACCGACTACCCCTTCTTCCACGACCCGCCCTCCGTCTTCTATGGTAGGGCTGGCGGCGCAGGGGAAGGGCTGACGCACGTGAGGCGTCCGGACGGAGGTGACCCCTGCCCGGCCAGTGTGGCTGGACGAGGTGTCAGGGTGGCTCATACGGAGGCCCTGGGGCACTCGCAGCCAGAGGCAGCTGCCTCTGCCCTTGCAGGTCTCGCGCCGACCTCCATCCCCAGCCCTTTGTGTTTCTTATTTTGAGACAGGGTCTCTGTAAGTCACTAAGTTGTCCAGGCTGGGCTCAAACTTGCGACCTTCCTGCCTCAGCCTTCTGGAGCACTGGGATCACAGGCATGTGCTCCATCACGCCCGGCCAAGAGCTGCTTCTTTCCACATGCATTTAGCAAGCACAGGTGTGTCAGGCCTTGTGTGGGGCACAGCGATGCAGCTCCGAGGATGCCTGCTGCCCGTGCGACACTGGTTGTGAGGAGAGGGCCAGAGACAGTGTCAGGGCCTGGGGTCCCCCGTGAGACGGTGGCCAGAGGGGATGGGCTTGGGAGGTCTATGGCCCTGCTCCTCGGGAGGCTGAGGCAGGAGGATCATAAGTTTGAGACCGTTCTGGGCAACTGAGGGAGAACATTTCAGAAAAGTAGAAGAAAATCAATAAATGGAATAAAGAGGCCAGAGTCTCGCTCAGTGGCCTGGTGCGTTTGTCCCGGGGTCAGTCTCCAGCCCCGCTGAACAAACAGAAGAGGAAATGAATAAAGTGAGACAACACTGCCAGCATTCTGGCCAGTCCTGAAGACGAGCAGTGTCTGTCGTCGCATCTGTGGAGGGGGGAGGTGGCGCGGTGGGTGCCGGACAGGGAGGGCGTCCATGAGGTCAGAGGCCCTGGAGGTGGCAGCAGTGACGGCCACACTGTAATGTGGCTGTGCCTTGTGCTCAGGCCGCTGGCCTTACCGATGAGCAGTGCTGAGCTGTATGGTGAGCACAGCGCACCACAGTTAAACAGTAACCATTTATTTCTTGTACTGAATGTTTGTTTGTGTGGTTTTTTTTTTTTTGGTACTGGGGATCAAACTCGGGACCTTGCGCTTGCGAGGCAGACAGCGGAACCACTGAGCTAAATCCCCATCCCTATTTTGTATTTTGAGACAGGGCCTTGCTGTGTAGCTCAGGTTGGCCTCAAACTCACTGCCATCCTCCTGCCTCAGCCTCCCAAGTGCTGGGATTATATAAGCGTGCGCCACCACACCTGGCTTAAGTTCATTAATTTAATTTGTGGTCTTGGGGTGGAACTCAGGGTTCTGTGCAGGCTAGGCAGGTGCTCTGCCACTGGGCTCCAACCTTAGCTGCTGCTGGTTTTAAAAATTTTATTTCCGGGGCCAAGGATTTAGCTCAGTGGCGCTGCACCTGCTTTGCAAGCGCATGGTCCTGAGTTTGATCCCCAGTACAAAAAAAAAAAAAAAAAAGAAGGGAAGATAAAATTTTATTTCCAGACAGGGTCTCACTAAGTTTCCCAGGCTGGTCTCAAAGTGATCCTCCTGCCTCAGCCTCATGAGTCATTGGGATTCTAAACCTGTACTACCACACACAACAATCTGTGCAGTTTTTGCATGTCACCCTTGCTCAGGGGCCTTGCTAATCTCTGTATCGTTCCAGTTTTAGTATGTGTGCTGCCGAAGTGAGCACAATTTGTCCAGCTTTCATTTGAATTACTCGTTTTTTCTTAAGATTTTTATACAAGTGATAGATTTTATACAAGCAGTGATAGAAAGATACAGTGAAGGCTTAAATTTCAAAAACTTATTACAGCCCGGCATGGTGGTGGATGCCTCTCATCCCAGCCCTCGGGAGGCGGAGGCAGAAGGGTAGGTGCATGTTTGAGGCCAGCCTGGGCTACAGAGTGAGTTCAAGTCCTGCCTGCACTATGTAGTGAGCAAAAAAACTAAAAGAACCCGCCCCCCAAAAAAACCCTCCCCACCAAACTTATTACAGTAAAAGATACTGACCAAGAACAATGGGATAAGTGTTTTCAAAGTGTGGGGTAGAATTTGGAATGTTTTGAGGGAGACCAATGGCAGTATGTCTTTTATTGTAATAATATTTTTTTTTGTTTTTGTACCAGGGATTGAACTCGAAACCTTGTGCCTGTGAGGCAGGTGGCAGAGCCACTGAGCCAAATTCCCGGCCCTGTAATAATATTTTAAATTCAAGCATTCAGTGTATTTCTTGACCACCCACACTGATTTAACATTTGGGGGCAGGGATGTAGCTCAGTGGTGAAGTGGCTGCCTGGAAAGCACAAGGCCCTGAGTTCGAATCCTGATACCAAAAAAGGAAAAAAACACACAAAAACATTTATGGCAATTTCTGTCAAGCAAAACACAACATTGTGTCCTCATCCACCGAACTGTGGAACTCTGGCTCTTCCCCAAAGCCACAGTGACCAGGAAAGGGAAACTTCTTTGTTTTTTTATTATAAGACACAGTCTTGCTATGTAGCCCAAGCTGGCCTTCAACTCAAAGTGATCCTCCTGCCTCAGCCTCCCAAGTGCTGGGATGACAGGCGTGCGCCACCACGCCCAGCTAAGGGAAGTGTTTGAATGGATTCAGCCCATGGAGGCAGCCAGAATAGCACAACCGCCCAAAAGGAGACCCCAGAGCTGCCACAGGAGGTGGTGCAGATGAGTGGATGAGTGGCGGCGGGCTTGGAGCGGTTCACTGCAGTGCGTCCTTGGCCGTAGAATTTGTTTGAAAATGTAAGCATGCGCATAATCTGGACAACCCCTGCCGGCTGAGCAGCGGGCAGATGCTCACTCACATTCTGCATCCTCCTGCAGCTGTGGATCGTTTCTTTGCTGTGTAGAGCTTTTTAGTTCCATGGAGTCCAGCTTTGGTAGTTTGATTTTGTGGTACAGGGGATTGAGCCCAGGGCCTTCACACTGAGCTGAGGCCCTTCTTTATTTTTCATTTTGAAACAGAGTCTGGCCAAGTCACTAGGTTCCCCAGGCTGGGCTTAAACTTGCCATCCTGCTGGAAATTTCTATAAATCTGAACCTGTTCTTTAAAAAGGCCTGTTAGGGGCCAGCGATTTAGCTCAGTGGTTTCGCCTCCTGCTGTGCAAGCTCAAGGACCCTAGTTCAATCCTCAGTACCAAAAAAAGCCTGTTAGAAGGCATCCACCTGTCATCCCAGCACTGTGGGAGGCTGATCCAGGAGGATCCCAAGTTTGAGCCCAGCCTGGGCAACATAATGGTTCAGTGAGAGCCTGTCTCAAAAGACAAAAGAGAAGAAAGAAAGAAGCTGGGGCTGGAGCTCACTGTGGAGGCTCCAGGTTCAATCCCATGTACGAGGAAAAAGAAAAAACCCTGTTAATAATAAATGATGGGTAGAGAATTGAGAATGGAAAATGAGTAGTCAGGCTGGGTGTGGTGGCAGTCACCTGCCATCCCAGCACTCGGGAGGCTGAGGCAGGACGACCAGGAGTTTGAGCCCAGCCTGGGCTACATAGTGAGACCCTGTCTCAAAAGCAAAATAAAATAAATCCAGTGGTCGTTTCTCCTGCAGACGTGTGGCTCTTCTGATGTCGGCAGGGCGGGGTGGGGCAGGGAGCTGGGGTGGGCGCGTGGAGCCCCAGGATTTCCTGACCACAGGTGCTGCTGTCCCCAGACTGGATGCCGGGCATGGCGGTGCCCCGGGACATTGCCGCCAACTACCTACTACAGGGCAGCTTCTACGGCCACTCCATCTATGCCACACTCTACATGGACACCTGGCGGAAGGACTCAGTGGTCATGCTCGCCCACCATGTGGTCACCCTGGCCCTCATCATCTGCTCCTACGCCTTCCGGTGGGTGAGCTCGGGTCAGCTTGGTAGGTGAGGTGGGGACCTGTGGCCTGGGGGTCCTGGGGTTCAGAAGGGATGACGGAAACAGGCCCAGATGCCCACCACCCCTCCAGCCCCAGGGATGAGCAAGGCCTACAGGGTGTACTGAAGCCAGACCAAGGACATCTGGGGGCCCGATGTTCTGGAACCCACTGTAGTGGCTGGGCACAGTGGGGCACGCTGAGGCAGGAGGGTCATAAGTTTGAGCCCAGCCTGGGTAAGTTATGGAGACCCTGTCTCAAAATAAAATACAGGGCCAGGGATTTAGCTCAGTGGTTCTGGTTGCCTGCCTTGCAAGTGCAAGGTCCTGAGTTCAATCCCTAGTACCAAAAATAAATAAATAAAATACAGAGGGCTGGGGTTTAACTGGGTGCTCCCTGAATTTAATCTTCAGTATTGTCCCCCCAATCTACCAAGATTTCCAAGGGTTTATAGATAAATAAAAATATAAGGAAAAGCAACTCATTCACAAACAAAAGTGAAAAGTTTGTTGTTAGTCCTTTCAATATCTTGATTTTTTTTTTTCTGGCTTTTTGAGACAGGATCTCACTATGTAGTCCAGGCTGGCCTTGAACTCATTATGTAGCCCAAGCTGGCCTTGAACTTGCAGCGATCCTCCTGCCTCAGCCTCCTGAGCTCTAGGAGTACAGGTGTGCGCCACTGTGCCTAGCTGTGGATATCTTGATTCCATATTGAAATAAGAATATTTTGCATTTACTGAATTCACCAGTATGTGCATGTATTTTTGAGGTGGAGTCTTGATGTACTGTCCAGGCTGGCCATGAATTCAAGCAACACTCCTGCCTCAGCTTCCCAAATAGTTGGGGCCACAGGGACATGTGTTTCCACTTTAACCCAATTTAAATAAAGGTGCATATGTTTCTCATCTGCACTGGCCACTACTGGGACTCAGTAGCCTCATATGACTGGTGGCTGCTGTGTGGGACAGTGTGCGTTTAGGACATTCCTGAGGTTCTGCTAAGTTCTGCGAAAGTTGCCTCTCTAGTGTGTAGTTCAGGTGACAGAGGGGGATGGGACATGAATGGGGAAGCTGTTCTAGGTGAATGGGAACAGCAGCAGGTGCAAAGGGCCTGTGGCAGGAACTAGTGTGCTGCTGGGAGGGAGGCCCCTGGCCCGGGACATGAGTGAGAGGTGTCGGGCAGGGACTGGGAGGCCCTTGGCCCTGAGACCCTAGTGGGATGGGGCAGCCTTTCCCAGGCAGTGCACGGAGCTGGACCAACAGGGTGGCGGTGATGTCTCAGTAAGGGATGTGGCCGGCGCGTGGTCCAGGCCCGGGAGGGTCATGGGGATCAGAGGTCACAGAGAGAAGGGACTGGGCAGCTCTGGCCGACTGGAGACAGGGACACTGCATGTGACGTGTGTGGGGCTGCAGTGTGAGCCGGGTCCCGCCCACCCAGGTACCACAACGTGGGCGTCCTTGTGTTCTTCCTGCACGACCTCACCGACGTGCAGCTGGAGTTCACCAAGCTCAACACCTACTTCAAGGCCGCGGGCGGCACCTACCAGCGGCTGCACGCGCTGCTGGGAGACCTCGGCTGCCTCTGCTTCTGTGTCAGCTGGTCAGTGGGCGGGGCCTGGCGGGAGGGGCGGGGTTATATTGGGAAGGGGGAGGCCTAACGGGGGGCGGGGCCAGGTCGAAGGGCGGGGCCTGGCCGCAGGGCAGTTGGTGGGAGGAAGGGGTGGTCCTAGTGAGGTTGGAGCTGCGGACCCTGATGGTGGGGCCGCTGTCCCCCTTCTTCTGCGGCCTCCTGACCTCTTCCCCCAGGTTCTGGTTCCGGCTATACTGGTTCCCACTCAAGGTCCTGTATGCCACGCTGCACACCAGCCTCATCTCGGTACCTGACATCCCCTTCTACTTCTTCTTCAACACACTCCTGCTGCTGCTCACCGCCATGAACTTGTACTGGTTCCTGGTGAGTGGCTTCCCTGCTTGGTGCTGGCAGTCCTCTTTTGTCCCTGTCCTTGGGCAGCCATCCAGGTGCAGGTCGGGTGGTGGGAGCAGCATGTGCAAAGGGCCTGTGGTCACACCGCCTCCTCCCACAGTACATCGTGGCCCTGGCCGCCAAGGTGCTGACGGGCCAGATGCGAGAGCTGAGTGACCTGCGGGAGTATGACACGGCCGAAGCCCATAGCCCCAAGCCCAGCAAAGCTGAGTGAGTGTGGGGGGCCCAGCGCCCTGAGTTCCTTCCTTGAGTGACTTCGGTCCTGGCGGGCTGTGTGGGCAGTGGATGAGGCAGTGCTGATGCTGTCCCCCAGGCTGCGAGTCTGACAAGGAGGGTGCAGTGAAAGCGGGTGACCTCGCAATGCCTTGGGGCACAGCCCTCTGGGGAGGGGATGCGAGGGCGGAGACGTGGGTGTAGGAGTCAGCCTCTGGCCTGGCCCACGTGACCTCCGGCCACCTCCTGACCCAGGCCAGGGGGATGGGGCCACGCCTTGTCCATGCCAGGACATCCCGGTCCTGGGGTGCGGTGGTCCTGCGGGAGGAGGGGGCCTCAGTGGCCTCCTGGGGTGCAGGCCCGAGCCTGGTGGCTCCATGCTCCAGCCTCGGACCCAGGTGTAAGCAGAGGCAGGTTTGGGGGACAAGCAGTGTCCCGAGGGCCAGGCTGTGGGTGGTTCTGGAAGGTGCTGGGCAGCCAGGCCTCTTATTTGGCTGCAGGGGGAAATGTTCTTGGCACTGGGGATCAAACCCATGGCTTCCACCCTGACTCACATCCCAGCCCTTTCTGAATATTTTTATTTTGAGACAAGGTCTTGCTAAGTCACAACTGTGGCCAGGCTGGGCTCAAACCGTGACCTTCCTGCCTCATCCTACCAGGCCACCCCATGCCTGACTAGAGGCGTCTTGGTACCCCCCAAAGATGGGGCCTGCAGATGAAGGGTGCCAGGGCCACAGAGGGGTCTGGGGCGGAGTGTAGGGACGGGGTGACTCCCAGAGCGTCCTGGCCAGGCCCCAGCTGGACACAGAGAGGCCGTCACCATGTCCGGCACAGGAGTGCGGGCAGCATGCAAGGCTGTGTAGAAAGCTGAACCAATCTTGCTTGGGATGTGAGAGAAACAGAAATAAAAGAATCGACGACAACTCAAGACTTTTGGCTCAAAATGCTGCTTGTGGAACTGGGGCTGGGACAGGGCCTATGCCTCCGCCGATGGGGCTGTCGGGTCTCATGTGGCATAAGCCAGTCTGTCACTGTGTTTCGTGTGGGTCAAGAGCTCTGTGGAGACTGGCAAGGCCTCACGGAGGGACCTTCCAGAAGGTTCCAGAAGGTTCCAGAAGGTTCCAGAAGGTTCCAGAGGCTTCCAGCAGCTAGTGTGTGGGGTAGCGGACCATGGCTGGCCAAATCTAAACCCCAGAAAGGTTCTCTTGCCAGAGGACATGAGGCATGAGCCAGGATTCCCAGTCCCACCCATGCCCACTCTGTGTCCCTGAGAATGTCGGGCCAGGACAGGAGGTGGAGGGTGGCACCCCAGAATGTTCCTACCAGAACCTTGCAGCTCCAGTGTGCACAGAAGTGACTGCTGGGAGCGCCTGCAGAATCCTCAGATGGGAAGCGTTAGCACAGCACACGGGATATAGGACAGGGTGGGGCAGAAGGGGAGACCCGGAGTCCAGAAAACCACTGCTCTGGGTGTCCTAGACTGCCCCAGCTGGGGGCTGGGGTGCTGCTCAGTTACAGACAGCTTAGCTTCCCTCTGTAGCAATAGGCAGGAACAGAAGAAGCTGGGTGTGGTGATTGGAAGGCTGAAGCAGGAGGATCTCCATGAGTTCAAGGCCATCCTGGGCTACCTGGCAAGACCCTGTCAAAAAAAAAAAAAATCAATAAAAACCATGAAACACCAGAAAAAAATGGCATCGATGTTATAGTTCTCTGCCTTTGGCTGTTATAAGAAAGTCCCCCACACTAGGCAGTCAGCTTAAACCAGCAGGACCAAGTTCTGGAGCCCAGAGGCTGGGGTCCAGGCATTAGCAGGCTTGTGTTCCCTCTGCTGGCTCCAACTTGAGACCCTCCTGCCTCAGCCTCCCTAGGATCAGAATATGGACGTGTGGTTTGTTTTTTTTTCGTACCGGGGATTGAACTCGGGTCCTTGCGCTTGTGAAAAAGGCGGTGGCACCACTGAGCTAAATCCCTGGCCCGGATGTGTGTTTTTGAGGCCACCCTCCAACCTACTACCAGCGTTAAGTCTCAGATACAGTGGAAGAGAGACTGGATCCGGACAGGTGTGCATAAATTACCTAGAACACAGCCCAGAGGTTTGGGAAGCAGGAAAGCTAGGATGATAGCGATTGTGCAGTGGAGTGGAGTTCAAACAGGAGACAGCAGAGCACGAGGTGACAGGGTGTGACTGTGGCAGGTGTGCCACACCCTGTTGCCAGTCTCTGAGGACCCCCCCAGCTCCTCCCCAGGACGTGCTCCCCGTGCCTGTGCCTGAGGTCTGGGGAGCCCCGAGTCCCGTCTCTCTCCCGCCTCTTACCTGTGAATTCACATCCAGAGGCCGTCTTCCACCCTCAAGGCTTTCTGGCTCCCCCCTGGCTTTCTCTACCGGGGTCCCAGCTGCCTGGGAGGGAGGGCGCGGCAGGAGGATCACCTGACCCCAGGAGTTTGAGGACAGCGGGCCACACAGCGAGACTCCATCTTAAAAAGAAGAAGTACAGGAATCAAAACAATCCAGGGAGCCAGATAGTCATGCACGCCTGTAATTGCAGCTACTCAGGAGGCTGAGGCAAGTGGATCCCAAGTTCTGAGCCAACCTGGGCAACTTAGTGAGACCCCATCTCAAAATAAAATAAAAGGGCTGGGGATGCAGCTCAGTGTTGAGTGCTTGTCTAGCACGTGTGGGGTCCACATCCCCAGCACTGCAAACAACAAAACACGCCAAGGGTGATGGCGAACACCTGTAGTCTTAGGTATTCAGAAGGCTTAGGCAGGAGGCACCCTTGAGCCCAGGAGTTCAAGGGCAGTCTGATGATATAATGAGAAGCCATCTCAAAAAACTAAAGAGAGCTATACGGAATAGAAGCTTCAGCATCTCCCAGAGCCAAAAGGCAGGGGGTCCTGGGCTCCATCCCCAGCACCATACAGAGCAGACAGCTCCTCAAAGACAAGTTCAAGACCAGGCTGCGGGGCATGGTGGTGCCCACCTGTGATCCTAGCCAACACTCAGGAGGCTGAGACAGGAGGATCGTCTCGAGTTCAAGGCCAGCCTGAGCTACTTAGCAACACCGAGTCTCAAAAGAAAAAGATCAAGGCCAGTAACACAGAGGAGGGCTACTGCAAAGAGGGACGTCTTATTGCCTGTGAAGTGTGTGAAAGGGAGACAGGAGGACTGCAAGTTTGAGCCCACCCCGGGTGGCTTCGAGAGACCCTGTAAAGGTCTGGGGCTGTAGCTCAGTGCAGAGGCCCTCAGTTCAGTCTCCGGTACCAGGGAAACAAAATCGATCTGTGGCACGCATCTGTGGCCTCAGCGACTCAGGAGGCTGAAGCAGGAGGACTACTTGAGCACAAGAGTTTGAGGCTGGCCTGGGGAACATGGGGAGACGCTGTCTCAAGAATAAAGTGCAGAGGCCTCCTCTGGGACAGTGGGTCTTGGAGAGGCACAAAGCCGGGGGGCTGAGGGGACACCACGCAGGCGCTGCTTGTGTGCAGTTGGCAGTGCCGTGTGGATCGGCGGTGTTGCCCGGATGCGCGGAGCCCGAGCCTCGGGCCGGGCCTCAGGCTCCAGCGGTCTGCACGTGGCTGGCGGCCGGAACCTCCCGGCCAGGCCTGCAGGGAGGGGACAGCTGGGGCCCGGCCGTGGGCACTCGCGGGAAGTGGGGCCTCTGGCGGCGGCAGAGGGAACAGGAGGGACCACCCCTCTCCCTGGCGTTGTTTTTCTGGAAAATGTGAGTTCTAAGGAAAGGTGCCTGTCTACAGCCATGGCACCCCGGAGTCCCCCATCTCGGAAGCTAAGTAGGGTCGGCCTGGTTAGGACTTGGATGGGGAAAAGGTGTCCCCAGGCTGGAGACAGGCAGCCACCGTCCCGGGCGCCCCTCCATGGGAGCTCCAGGTGGGCACCAACAGCCTGACGCAAATTTTCCCTTCGCCGGAGCCAGGCTCCGCACCAAGCATTCAGGCTGCGACTTGGCTTTGCTCGCAGCGGCCTGGGGAGCGGGGAAGGGTACAGAGGCGGGTACTGACGGGCAGCGAGGAGCTGCCCACGGCGGGGAGGGCCAGGCCGGGTAAAGCGGTCGAGGGGCGAGACCGTGGGTGGTGGGGAGGGCTGGAGGATCCGGGTGTTAGAGGGGGCGCAGGCCCCGGCTAACCTGCGCCGCGCTGTGGTCCCCAGGAAGCCGCTGCGGAACGGCCTGGTGAAGGACAAGCGCCTCTGAACCCCTCGGCCCAGCCCCGCCTCCCAGGAGCCTGCCCCGCCCCAGACCCCGCCCCGCGACCCAAGCCACACCCCTGGGACGGGGCGCACCTCCCGGGACCCTGGCCCCGTCCATCTCCACCCCTCCAGGGCTCCAGAAACTCCGGACCACCTACCCGGTCCCCGCCCTTCAGGCCCCGCCCCCAGCCCAGGTCCTGGCCGCTGGGACCCCGTCCCCAGCCATTGCCCGGAAGATGCTACCGCTGCGCTGTGGTTCCCGCCACCACCTCCTCCTCCTGCTGCTGCTGCTCCTGGCGCCCCTGCTGCCCTCGCCGTCTGCGGCCAGCGCCCCCGAGCCCCCGCGCCCCGCCATCGCCCTGCTGCAGGCGCTCGGGCTGCGTGACGCGCCCCGGGGCGCCCCCAAGGCCCGTCCTGTACCTCCGCTCATGTGGCGCCTGTTTCGCCGCCGCGACCCCCAGGAGGCCAGGGCTGGCCCGCGACGGAAGTCCCCAGGGGCCACCCCGAGACCGTGCCACGTGGAGGAGCTGGGGGTTGCCGGGAACATCGTGCGCCACATACCGGACCGCAGTGAGTGGGGCCTGCGCGGGGGCTCGGTAGCCCAGGGCGAGACCTCCGGGGCGGGAGGGGGGGACAGGGGCGCCCCTCCGGGTCCCCACGCCGCGCCTCTGCTTGCGGGGACCCCGCCTGGAGGTTCAGAACAGCCCCCAGCCCTTCACACCATCCCGCGGATGTCCCTGCGGATGACCCCGCGGGGCAGCCCCCTGCACCCCACAGCGCCCCTTCCTTGCAGCTGGCGCCTCGGCGGGGACCCTCTGGCGGGGACCCTCTGGCGGGGACTCGGCGCTCACCTTTCTCCCGTTGCCTCCCAGGTGCGCCCGCTCGGCCCCCGGAGCCCTCCTCGGCCTCGGAGCCGTGTCCCGAGCAGACCGTGGACTTCGACCTGTCGGCTGTGGAGCCCTTGGAGCATGCGAGTCTCGCTCGCCTGGAGCTGCGCTTCGAGGCGGCGGGGCCGGGGGTGGCACCCGGCAGCGGCTGGGAGCTGAGCGTGGCGCGCGCGGGCCCCGGGCCGGTGCTGCTGCGCCAGGAGGTGCGCGCCCTGGGGCCGCCGGTGCACGCCGAGCTGCCGGTCGCCGCCTGGGCCCCGCACGCGCCCACGCCGCGCAGCCTCAGCCTGGTGCTGGTGTTGCGCCCCCGAGCGCCTGCCGCCTGCGCGCGCCTGGTCGAGGCCGCGCTGCTGCTGGTGACCCTAGACCCGCGCCTGTGCCACCCCCTGGCCCGGCCCAGGCGCGAGGCCGAGCCCACGGCGGGCGGCGTCCCCGGCGGCGCATGTCGCGCGCGACGACTGTACGTGAGCTTCCGCGAGGTGGGCTGGCACCGCTGGGTCATCGCGCCGCGCGGCTTCCTGGCCAACTACTGCCAGGGCCACTGTGCGCTGCCCGCCGCGCTGCCAGGGCCCGGGGCGCCTCCCGCGCTCAACCACGCCGTGCTGCGCGCGCTCATGCACGCGGCCGTGCCCGGCAACGGCGGCCTGCCCTGCTGCGTGCCCGCGCGCCTGTCGCCCATCTCCGTGCTCTTCTTTGACAACAGCGACAACGTGGTCCTGCGGCACTATGAGGACATGGTGGTGGACGAGTGCGGCTGCCGCTGACAGCAGGGGCCCCCGCGGTCTCCTCGTCCCTGGCGCGGGGAGGGCCCGGGCCTCAGCGGTCTGCGGTGCCTGCCGAGGCAGCATCCCCTGCTCCTGCCCGTCCCCACTCCGCTCCACCCGCCGGCCCACCCATGCCCTCGCTCTCCACACAGTCATGCCAGCCTCATGGAAAGGCAGGAACTGTTTATTAAGATTTTATTGGTGACAAAAGAGCTTAAAACAAATTGACCAAAAACCAAGTTACGTTGCCTTGGTACGGATGCTTGTCGACTGGTGAAAGGGTGACTGCCGCCGGGAAGGTGGAGGGCAAAGCAAGGGTACAAGCGGAGGCAAAGCGGGCGGGAACGGTGGGGCCTAGCCGGGCTGCCTCCGGCGGCCTTCGAAAGGGAACCACAAGCCTGCGGATGGCAGCGTCCTTGCCCATAGCAGGCGACCGGCGCGTCCCTGTGCACGAAGGGGAGGCCGGGGCCGGGGCCTGGGGAAGAGGACCCCGTGCAGGGAGCAGCTCTCACCCTCGCTGCCTCTGCACCTCTGCCCTGCGTCTGTCCAGAGGCGCGACTGCTCCGGGCCCCTCGGCAGAGCCGCCCCAGCACAAACCCTCAGTTGGCAAGCCGGGCCAGCAGGCGCTGGGCTGCCAGGCGCGAGCACGTGGCCAGCACAGGACTGGTGCCTGCGGGGATGGGGCCAGCCCTCTGGCGGCCACCTTCCACCACTTCCTAAGGGATAAACCCACTGGCCCGGCATCGGCACCTCCTGCCCCGCCTGTCCTGGCTGAGGGTGCAGTGGGCTGAGCACCTTCCGAGCGGCGGCCAGGGCCCGGCCAGTCCATGGCGGCGCGGGGCAGCCGATCTCCTCAGTCCTCGGAGGCAGACTTGGGCCTCTGGGCTGGTTGCTGCCCTCAGCGTGAAGGCCCTGAAGCGAGACCTCCACCATCCTCCTGAGACCACGGTCGGCGTTGCTCCGGCTCCAGGTGCTGCCTGTTGACGCCTCGTTTCTGGAAGCTGCTCACGACTCCCAGGTCCACCACTAAGATCTTAGACACAAACTTAGAAAAGTAGTTTTCAGTACTTCTTTGAAAAATCTTTAAAAAAACAAACAGAAAAACCCCAAACACCGTATTTTCTTTCAATGAACCCCCTCAGAATGCAGGCCAGGGGACCTGGGCAGTCCAGGAGCCATGCTCCTCGGGCCCGGCTGGCATGGCCACCGCCAGGAGCCTGCTAGGGCACAGAAATGCGAAGTTTTTTCCTGCTAAAACGTAGTCCCCTTTCAATAAAAGAGAAAAGAAAGAAACAAAAACAGAGAAAGGGCTACTCTGAGATGAGGGTCTTCTCCCTCCGCCTGGTCGCGGGCCCAGGTGTGCGCGGCGGGCGGGCGGGCTGCGCCTCCAGGTGACGGGCTGGGCAGGGCCTGACAGGCTCCTGCGGCTGCCACCTCCCGCTCTCCCTTCTCCTTCTCCTGCGCCGCTGCCGTCGCCGCGTGCCCACAGGGGCGCTCGCTGCTTGGCTCCTCTCCCTCGGCTGCTCCTCTCCCTCTCCTGTTGCTCACACAGTGGTGCTTCAGTTTTAGCAGTGGAAAACAGGTATCCATTTATTTTTATTTTTTATTACCCAGAATAAGATGCTGATGCACTAAGCCACGGAGCTTAGCTCTTCCGCCACCACCTGTGGGATGGGATGGGACGGGACGGGACAGGACGGGTGTCAGCAGCCGCAGGGGCAGGCCCAGGGCACCGCGGCACCTCCCTGACCCGCACGCTGCCAGAGGGGGCACCGAGCCCAGCAGGCAGGGGCCCAGGGGCCCCACCACTGCTGGCCCACGTGTCCAGGGCCCCTGCCGCGGCTCCTGACTCCTCCCGGGGGCAGGCACAGGACGCTTGCCTTCTAGTACTGGGACAGCCCTGTCACCCCGCCGTGCTGGTACGCCCGCTCTCCCTGGTACGTGGAGTCTTGGGACAGCGCCACATCGATCTGGGATTTAAACTCATCACCCAGGTAGCTGTCCTGAAAGACAAGGCAGGAGAGTGCGCGGCCGAGGTGTGCATGGCCCCGGAGGGCTACAGACCCTGTGCGGGCAGCGGGGTTCCCTTCGGGACTTGAGGGCAGTGGCAGCAGCGCGGGGCTCACCTGGGACAGCTCGGGCTGGGAGAGGCCGGGCTGGCTCATCTGGGAGGGCTGGCTCATGGAGATGTAGCCCTGCGTCAGCGCGCCCTGCGAGAAGGGCTGCGATGCCACGTCCTGGCTGGCCTGGCTGCTGGGGAGGGGGGTCTGGCTGGGCCCGGGGAGCCCGAAGCGGTTCTTCTGGCGCGCCCCACGACTGGTCTTGCTTTTCGGGGCACCCCGGCCTGAAAGAGAGCAAGAAGTCCAACGACCCGAAAGGCAGGGCAGGGCCGCATGGGGCGAGGTGCGGCATGGCTGGCGCTCACCTGCTGCCGGCCCGTTGGCCTGTCCGAAGTAGCCGGGCGGCGGCATGGGCGGCATGACCAGGTTGAAGGGGATGGGAATGTTCATGGCGGCCACGTGGCTTGGGCCGGCGCTGATCATGCCGATCTGGTCGTGGGTCTGGAAGTACATGTTTGAGGGCCGGCCTGTGGGACAAAGTGGGCGTCAGGCGTCAGGCCCTGGGGACAGTGACTGGAACGCTGGTCCTGCCTGCGGTCCGTCTGCCCCGACCCCAATGCCACCCTCGTTCGGTTCTGATGAGGATCACTGAAACCTGCGTTGCATTTGCCAGCAAAGCCCTTTCAGTAGCAAACCCCTTCATGCTCCATGAGGCCCCACCAAACAGCAAGCGAACACTGGGCGTCCTCGTGGGGACAAAGGCAGGCGGACCTTCGCACCCAGGGCACTGCAGGGGCCGGGGAGGCACAGGAGCAGGCCCAGGACAGCACTGCTCCCTTGTCAAAGGGACCTTGGGGCGCATGGTCATGGAAGAACACAGCCCACGGTGTGAGGCCCATGATGGCTGGGCACACGGCCAGGGAGAGGGCCAGGTGGGACAAGAAGGAAGGAGAGCAAACGGCCCGGGGCCGCTCCTTGGGGCTGGGCTGCAGCAGGGAAGCAGCCAGGCAGGGGCTCGGGGTGAAGGGTGGGGGCTTTCCCTCCGCAGAGTGTGCTCAAGCCACAGGGCCGGCTGTAGGCCGCAGGCTGTAGGCCGCAGGCTGACAGCACTTCAGAGACGAGCACAGGGCACAGGGCAGAGATCAGGGCTGCCCGGGGGGCCTCAGGCAGATATGCCAAGCTAGAAAGGCGCCAGCCCTCCAGCTCCCAGCAGGGACACTAAGAAGCGTCCCTGCCTCAGGCGGGCTGCTGTGGCCTGAGGGAGTCAGAGTCACGGCCAGGTCCCCCAGCACAAGGACTCACCCTGGCTGCTGCGGTCGTACACGGACCCTGGGATGATGGCTTCCCGGGCGTCGTACATGGCAGTTGTCATGAAGCGGGCCCCCTGCAAAATCGCACACAGGGGAGGAATGTGTCGCGTCAACATAAGAGAACCTTCCCACAGACCTGGTGGCTTGGAGGTGGCAGGGTGTGAACTCTGGCAGCGGGGGGCCAGTTTCCTGACCTCCGGCAGGGACCCAGCTGCAGCCGTGTGACTCCCTCGAGTCCCACCCGGGCTTCCCAGGGCGCTCAGCTCACCGGGTTGATGGTGTTGACCAGCTTGCGCGGCTTGCTGAACTGCATGAGGCTCTCGCGCAGGTTGTTGAGCGGCCCCTCCACCAGCACCTTCTGCTCCTTGTAGTAGTTCAGCAGGTGGTTCCACAGCGGCTGCTTCGACAGTGCCTTAGGGTTGCCCACGATGATGACGCCGTACCTGCAGGCCCAGCAAGGCACGGCAGTCAGGCCCGGCGGCAGACCAGATGGATCCAGGCTGAGGATGGGCGGGCCTGGGAGGTGCATGAGTTTGGGGACGAAGCCCCTGCCGCTGCCAGCCAGCTCCTAATGCGGGCCATCTGACAGGGAGGCAGCTGAGGGTCGGGGTGACAATGGGGGAAGAACTGGGCCGCAGCCTTACACTGCAGTCCTCTTGGCATGCAGGCTGCGTCCCAAGACGTCCGGCTGGTGAGGGGACAGCTACCTGCCCACTCGGTGGCCACCTTTCCCACGGGGTCCCTCTTACTACCAACTCGGCAGGGTCCTAGTCCTGCCAGGAGGGCCGCCAGACCCTCCCTTAGATGAGAGGTCCAAGAGGACACGAACACCCTCTGCTGTGGGCCCTGCCAGGCGCCTCGGGACCCGGGAGCACAGCACCGAGCGGGCGCAGAGGCGTGGAGGTGTCCGGTGCTGGCCTACCTAGCTCTGGTCAGGGCTACGTTGAGGCGCCGGGGGTCGTTTAGAAAGCCGATTCCTTGGTGCTCATTGGCCCGCACACAGGACAGGATGATGAAGTCCTTCTCGCGTCCCTGGAAGGCGTCCACGCTGGCGATCTCCACCTCCTGAAAGGGGTGTGGTGACCACATCAGGGGCAGCTGCCCTCCGGCCGCACAGAGCAGGCAACACAGGGAGGGTGCCTGGGACACGGCAGGCAAGGGCGCCACAGTGAGTGAGCCGCACCCCGCCCCGGTTCCTCTCGCTCCCCATAATCAAGGACACACACTCGAGTCTGGAAAACCCAAGAAGCAGAGTGGAAACCATCGCACTGGCACTCTTGGCCAGGGCCCACGGGGCACTTCGGGGTAGCAAAGGCACGAGCACTGGGCCGGCATGGCCACCAGCTGCTCCCTCGCTCCCCAGCCTTGCCAGCCGGCCCTGAAAACACCCCAAGGAAGCCCCGTGAGACAGTTGTACTGCGCAGCCAGTGCAGCCTGGCCCCCCGGTCCTCTGCCTCAGGCTCCCAGGGCTGTGACCCTGCACCCAGCTAACGGCTGCTCCTGCGCGCCCGAGACTCGGCCCCTCGGCTCCTGCCTGGCCACACGCTGGCAGTCTGCACCCTCGGAGGCGGCCGTGCGCCCACCTGGTAGAGCTTGGTGTGCAGGGAGCCGCTGAACTGCATGTACTGCACCAGGTAGGAGCGC